CTGTGTCTCATACCCAAGGTGCTACTTTCATGACGCCGTCTGTGTCCAATCCCCAAGATGCCACCTTCATAATGCCATCCCCGTCCAATCCCCAAGGTGTGCTAGTCTCAGGTCTTGATTTCTCTGCGGAAGTTCATAATCCCTCACAAGGCTCCTGATCCGCATACCCTTTATCATATCCCGTTCACTCTTTCCTCTTCGAAATTTCGACTTTTTAACCTTCGAGATAAATTCCGTTAGCTGCTGTCTATCACGTAGCACCAAATACTCTACACTTTCACGGTTGCGCGTGCACCGATTGTCATATATTGCGCATTACTTCTATTCATGTATATACGTTTGCGTACCATAGCCAATAATAATGTGATTTAGACAACGCTGACGATGCGGAGGACGATCTCCATGAGTATGTGGACGGTTAGGGCATCCCTCAGGTAGTATAAAACATTCTATGGCATTGCTGAACGTTCTATACAGTCAGAGAACGTTCTAAATGTTCGTGATGAACGTTTTACATGTTCAAATCAATACAAAAGAGAAAGTTCAACGAGCCTTAGAACGTTCATATGCATTTAGGCCTGTTAGGCCGGAGATCGAAAGTTCAATTTGGGTACCTAACGAGGCCTTCTACCTGGGTGTCCGTGGTGATTAGAGGATGGAATCTGCCGCAAGACTTTCCATTTGAAGTTGCGCAATGGGATGAATTGCGCCTTGCGGCGATCTCATGGGTGACACTCAAGTAGAGGCTGCGCAGTTCACAGCACCCGCTGCGCGTCCGACCTTTCCTCCTAACCCTTCCATCCACCCATTATTGACCATGTCGCTGAAGCAGAGGGTCAATCATCTCCTCGCTGTGGGAGGCGATGTTGCAATTCCGGTTCTCACCGCCATCGATACTGCATCGGGCGTGTTCCCTCCTCTACAGGCCGCCACCGGTGCCACACTCTTCATCCTCACAGAAATCAAAGCTAGTAACAATTTATACCGATCCTGGAAAGGAAGTTGACAATCCGCATTGTGCAGAAGTTCAGGGGAAATAAGGAAGAATGGGAGCGCTTTGGAAAATATATCGGGGACGCCATGGTCGATGTGGTTACAGCCGTCGATTCGTATGATGGATCTAACGAAGAGCCTAAGCCGTGGGTGGAAGGCGTCAAGAAGCTGAGCGAGTGAGTAGATCTGCTCTATGCAGGCCAAACCATCCTATAACGTAGGTACTTTGTAGGGCGCTGGAGCGCATTCGAATTGAAATTGGTCGATTGCGTGGAAAGATGAAAGGGCAATCTGGTGTCCGCAACTTCTTCTCTCATATGAAGAACCCCAGTAGGATCGATAATTTAAAGAAAGATTTTAGCGAAGCCTTGGCAATGTTCCAGGTAATTCCGTTTGATCCCCGATGATGTTTCTGTTCTGATCTCATCGAAACCACATAGCTGCAGACAAACTTGACGGTTGGTGCAATGGCAAACAATCAAGATCGGTTAACTCGTGGAGTAGAAGATTCCTCAGTTCTGAATGAACTCAAATATCCCATTGTCCCCCATCACGATTCAACGCACCCGTGCCTGAAAGACACTAGGACTGATCTGATCGAGCGTATTATGACGTGGTGTCGTACCACGGAGGATAGCAAGAATCGTGTATTACTGCTAACGGCCGTGGCCGGTGCCGGCAAGACATCTGTTGCGCTCTCGATCGCAGAGGAGTGTAAAAGAGAAAAGATGTCATCAGCAAGCTTCTTTTTCAAAGCAGGCGAGCAGTCGCGGCCGGACCATCTGTTCAGCGGCATGGCTCGATCTCTGGCAACCCACGACGCTGCATACCGAGCCTCCCTCATATCCGCTCTTCAGGAGGATCCAGCCCTCTCGACTGCCTCGTTCCCGACACAATTCGAGAAACTAGTGGCTGAACCTCTCCATCTCAGGACATCCTCGTCTGACCGTCCCATTGTAATTATCATTGATGCGTTAGACGAGTGCGACACAAAGTCATTCCCACGTCTTGCCGATATACTTCGGAAGGCAGTCCCAAAACTACCACCTAACATCAAATTCTTTCTCACTTCGAGACAATTTGACCTCGTTGATCGTTTCCTATCACCTAATTACCCTATTGATCGCCTCACCATCGATCTTTCGGACGATGCTAACTTGCATGACTGTTCTATCTACATCCGATCACAACTACACGAACTGAAGGATGTGCATCCTGGTTTGGAAGATGGAATCGGGGAAGATACATTAGTCCAAAGCATACGAGAGCGGGCGGGCGGCTTGTTCATTTGGATCAGCACTGTCTTTGATTACATGAAGGTCAGCGGTAGTGATGCTGCGAAGATGCTGAAGAAACTGCTGGATGATGATCTCAACCGATCAAAGGCATCCGCTGAGGAAATGATGGATAAGCTATATGCGAGTATTTTGGAGAAGTGTAACTGGAAGGATGACGATTTTGTGCATGATTATCCGATTGTGATGGGAGCAATTCTAATCGCACAGAAGCCACTATCCGTTGCGGCCTGGGATGCCATTCTGTCACCACTGCTGGAGTCAGACATCCAATATACATTAGCTCAACTTTCACCTCTCGTCTCAGGAGTAAGAGATCCTGACAAGCCAATCCGTATTCTGCACCAATCCTTTCGTGATTTTCTCATGGACCGAGTCGATCCACAATCACCCATACTAGGTCGATTTGGAGTGGATGCGAGGAGGGAGAACAATAGAGTGGCCCTGCGCTGCATCAAAATCTTGAATAAAGAACTTTCAACTATGAAGGGTTTAGGGCTAATCAAAGACTTATCCGAAAAAACCAAGCTGCCACCCATTCCTCAAGAGGCGCTGTCCGAACATGTCCATTATGCATGTCGGCATTTCGTGCATCATCTCAGCCAATTTCAGGAGCCACTGGAGGCACCCAATGGGTCGATTCACATATTTCTCAATGAGCAGATATCGTGCTGGGTGGAAGTCTGTGTGAGGACGGAAGGGTACATTAGTATATCATCATTCCCTGAATGGGCCAAGGTACGAATCATCAGTAGCGATCATTTGAGGCTCTTGTTCAGTCTCATGTTCCATTCAGTTGAACGTTGATTGGGTCTCCAAAGAAGTCATTCACAATTTGGTCAAAGTATTTCTCAATATAAGGGAAAATCTTGCGTTCTTTTTAAGATTGCAGGAGGCATATGAGTTGGCAAGTGATTCAGTTGCACTGTGCCATTGCCTTGTGTCTACGGACTCAGAGTCCTACACCCCAGATCTGGCTCGAGCACTCGGGGATCTAGCTGCATCACTCACCGACCTTGGACAACATTCTGAGGCACTCCTTGTGAATGAAGAAAGTGTGAAGCTCTGGCGCGAACTGGTTGCTGCCCATCCAACATCATACACCCCGGATTTGGCTCGAGCGCTCTGGAATCTTAAAGTATCACTCAACAAAGTTGGACGCCATTCCGAGGCACTCATGGTGATTGAAGAAAGTGTGCAACTCTGGCGCAAGCTAGTTGCCACCCATCCAACATCATACACCCCAGATTTGGCTGGAGCGCTCCAGAATCTCGAAGTATCACTCAACAAAGTTGGACGCCATTTCGAGGCGCTCACAGTGATCAAAGAAAGTGTGCAACTCTGGTGTGAGCTAGTTGCCACCCATCCAACATCATACACCCCGGATTTGGCTCGAGCGCTCCGGAATCTTAAAGTATCACTTGGCAACGTTGGACGCCATTCTGAGGCACTCATGGTGATTGAAGAAAGTGTGCAACTCTGGCGTGAGCTAGTTGCCACCCATCCAACATCATACACCCCGGATTTGGCTGGAGCGCTCCAGAATCTTTTTGTATCACTCGACAAAGTTGGATGCCATTCCGAGGCACTCACAGTGGTTGAAGAAAGTGTGCAACTCTGGCGCGAGCTAGTTGCCACCCATCCAACATCATACACCCCAAATTTGGCTGGAGCGCTCCGGAATCTTACAGTATCACTCGACAAAGTTGGACGCCATTCCGAGGCACTCACAGTGATCGAAGAAAGTGTGCAACTCTGGCGTGAGCTAGTTGCCACCCATCCAACATCATACACCCCAGATTTGGCTGGAGTGCTCCAGAATCTTTTTGTATCACTCTACAAAGTTGGACGCCATTCCGAGGCACTCACGGTGATCGAAAAAAGCGTGCAACTCTGGCGCGAGTTAGTTGCCACCCATCCAACATCATACACCCCGGATTTGGCTGGAGCGCTTGGGAATCTAGTTGCATCGCTCACCAACCTTGGACGACATTCTGAGGCACTCCTTGTGAATGAAGAAAGCGTGAAGCTCTGGCGCGAGCTAGTTGCCACCCATCCAGCATCATACAACCCGGATTTAGCTGAAGCGCTCGAGAATCTTGTAATATCTCTTGACAATCTTGGACGCCATTCTGAGGCGCTCCTCATAAATGAAGAAAGGCTCAGACTCCTATGCCAGTAGTTGTCACTTATCTGATATCATCCACTTCAAATTCAACACAATCATTCTGCAGCTTCACCAACTCATGCAAAAGCCACCACGAATGCCAAGGCCCTCGTTGAAGATTCTATTGCGATTTATTGTTTGCGGCGTGTTACTCACCCGCCATCGTGTGTTTTTGGCATAGCCTTGGTAATGCAGACTCCGCCTGTTTTTATGCGTAGGGCCGCGGGTCAGGAGCCAATGTTATACTATCACTCGCTTCATTCCCAATACTCTGATGCTTATGCACACAGCCATATTCCTGTGTCACCCATGCTCCACATCCATATATGTCAAGAAGCAAGCATGCCGTCAACCCCATGTAAGCGTCCGGAGCGATATGTATATCACACGGCATGTCTGGGACAATCACCCAGCTTGAATACCGGTCCACAAGGCTAAACTCTGCTTCATCATCGTTATATCCCCATCACTCCTCCCTGAGACATACTTGATCGGCCAGAAAGCCGACAACCATTCACTGCGTTGAGCGGAATTGGGAGAACCAGGTCGGCAAGCACTTGTCCTGCTGCGAAAGAGAATATTTTCAGGGCCAACAAGTATGTACAGAGAATTGCATTGCCTAGTCATGACGTGAGGCGATATTGTGGCAGTAGCCCATCTTGTCCACTTCATACTCCATATCTGTATCAATTATGTAGGACTTCGGACTCGATCTCCATGCACATCTTATGCCACATCTATCCTTGTAACTACCTTCCGCTGTGAGAACAGGGGACTCTAGCCTCACTCAGCCGATAGCGTTTTCGCGATGACAGTTCAACCCTGAGGGGGCTGCGCGGCGTCTCCACGGGACACAGGCATCGGTCCAGAGGCCATGTAAATTTGCGGGGCAAGGCTAGTCTTGTGCGATCTCTATGTGATGTCATTGCTGGCCATTCAAAGTTGGACTAAGCGGGTTAAGCAAACATCAGTTCATCAAAAACCAAAAGTCCAGGTGAGATCGCGCTTACCATCACATTTCCTGGGATTACTTCATCCAAGAATGGCCATCCAGGATTTCATCGGAGTCACAAAACGGATGTTTGGGAAGGAAAAGGAACGTATCGGCCATAAGTTGGGTGGAGCTGCTCAGAGGGAGGCTGTTGGTTCTCGCGATCCTAAAGGTAAATCATTGGAAGAAACGAAAAGCTTGGAGAACTGCCTGTTGCTACTCGTTCCAACCATGAATTCGGTTCACTGACCTTGATGCATGAGGGTTTCCTTGTGGCTGCAGCTGGAATTCAATGCAGTGTCGACGTGCACTCAACTTTGTGGAAATACACGCCGTCTTGACCGGTGGATGGCTGGAGCCAAAAACCATCCAGTACATGGGCTGCGCGCGGAAGTATTGCGGCTATATGAAAGTTTTAATTGTGGAGCTGCCTTGACCGATCATTAGTGCGAGAAGACTCGGGAGTCTGATAATTATCAGCGAGACACTTGTCGTGTGTCCGAGGTCGATTTGGAATATATGAGTTGATTCTCATGCTCCTTTCACGAGATTCACAAGTAATGAACATGAGGCAAAATGTGGCGCAGTTTCTGATGAACACCGATCCGGAGAACGCACTTGGCATTTTCTTCCTTGATAGCCTCGTGAGTAATACATATTTCACGTACTTTCGCTTACACATGTCGAAAACACTCCCCGAGGAACTAAGTACAAGTGATATTATCAGTGACTTCCGACTCCATTCCTTTCTGACTCCACGACGCAGAAGGGCGGGCTGTTTGGCAAGTGAGTGTTCGACCCCAGTTGATCACTCTTCGAGTAAGAGAAATAATCCTTCACAATCCTTCCCTTCGAATCTTTCACATCTGTCAGTGCGAAGAGACATATCTATGATGTCATCACCACGAACCATTAGTCCCATTCTCACGCTTCTCCCTCCAAAGCGGCCTGCGTGGCAAAAGACATGGGGTCCCGCTTTGATCTGTATGATCAATGTGGTGACTCGGAACCTTCCATAGTGGGCCCGTAGACAATGTTTTGGGCAGCGACGTTCGAATACGCTAGTCTCTGAGTGGAGGTATGTCCTGATCCAATTCAAATTCAAAAGAAATGGTATGCATGTTCACAACCGACTCACTCGAGGCCCAACACTTGAATGGAGCAGAATGAAGCATTCAAATCTGTCAGCCAGTACTTGTTAGAGCGCCATTTTTAACTTATTGCTTCCAGTGACACCACGAGGTCGTTAGCCTCAGCGGCAATGCCAAATCCTCCCATTCCGCCGTCCTCTCGGATCCTGCCTTGTTACTGCCTGTTGTGCATCACACTCGCTTTGCAAACACGCGACAGTCCACATACACCTAGTGCTGGTACGGCCCAGCTTCCTGCAAGATCAAAGTATGTATGTTCCTGTTGCCAACTTCACACCAAATCTCACGTAACAAACCCTAGGGTACTAAGAGAGTCGGCATAAGTAGCTGCGAACCATGTCAGTTGGTTCTGCGTAAGAGGATGGAATCTGCTACGGGACTTCCAAAGGGATGAATTGCACTCACCGTGAACTTGCGCAGCATCTACTCGAGTGTTATCACCCATTTCGCATCAAACCTTTCCGCCCCATCCTTCCATCTGCCTGTCATTGGTCGTGTCACTGAAGCAGAGGGTCATTGGTCACCTCGCCGCAGGAGGTGATGTTGCAATTTCAGTTCTCACCGCCGTTAGTGCTGCCATTGGGGCTCCTTTACGATTTGCCGCTGGTGCCACACTCCTGATCCTCAGCGAGATCAATGTTAGTAATAATTTATACCGAGCCAGGAGCGGAAGTTAATAATATGCATTATATAGAAGTTTACGATGCGTCTAACGAAGAGGTTAAGCCGTGGATGGAAAATGTCACGAAGCTAAGCGAGTAAGTAGTCACTGCTCTTATGCAAGTCATGCCGTCGTATAACGTAGGTACTTTGTGGTGCGCAGCAGCGTATTCAAATCGAAATCGATCGATTGTGCGGAAAGATGGAAAGACAGTCAGGCACCTGCAACCCCCCTCCCCCACACGAAGAACCCTAGCAGGATCAATGATTCAAGGAAAGATTTTAGCGCGGCCTTGGCATCCTTCAAGGTATTCGTGTTTGATCCTCGTCGGTCATGTTGCTGCTCTGATCTCAATTATCGTAACCATGTAGCCGCGGAATAACAAACAATCAAAATCAGTTAATTCATGGAATAGTGAATTCTTCTGTTCCGAATGGATTCAGGTATCCCATTGTCGCCCATCACGATTCAACTCAGGCATGTCTGAAAGGCACTAGGACTGATCCGATCTGGCCTGGTGTCGTAACACGGTGGATAGCGAGAATCGCGTATCACTGCAGAGCGCTGTGGCCGGTGTCGACAAGACATCTATTGGACTCTCAATTGCAGAGGAGTGTGAAAGAAAAAGGATGTTATCGTTAAACTTCTTTTTCAGAGTGGGCAAGCAGTCGCGGCCGGGTCATCTGTTTTAGTGGGCTTGATTTCTAGCAACACACAAGCCAATATATCTCGACTGCCCCCGTTCACGAAGCAATTCCCAGAAACTAGTGGCTGGACCTCTCCGTCATCGTCTGGTCGTCCTCCAATGGTCATCGTTGATGTGTTAGATGAATGCGACACAGAAGCTTTCCCACGTCTTGCTATACTTCGAAAAGTACCGCCTAACATCAAACCTCTTTGTCACTTTGAGACAGTTCGACCTCGTTGACCGATTCCTATCACCCAATCACCCTATTGATCGCCTCACTATCGACCTTTCAGACCATGCTAATGTCCATGACTACGCTATCTACATCCGTTCACAACTACGCGAACTGAAGGATGCACATCCTAGGTTGGAAGGTCAAAGCGAGGACGAGGATAAATTGCATATTGGAGCGTGACTTGTTCATTTGGATCAGTAACGTCTTTCGCTACGTGAAAGTTGCCAGCAGCGATCCTGCCAGAACGCTAAAGAGCCTTTTCAATCCCATCATCGACCGATCGAAGGTCTCTGCTGAGGAAATGATGGGTGCGCTATATACGAGCATCTTAGAGAAGTGCGATTGAGAGTACAACGATTTTGTGCATGACTGCCCCATTGTGATGGGAGCAATCCCAATCGCGCAAAGGCCACTATCTGTTTCAGCATGGGATGTCATTCCGTCACCGCTCCTGAAATCATCCATCCAGTGTATGTCGGCCGAACTTGCACCCCTCATCTCAGGAGTCGAGTCAGACAAACCAATTCGTATTGTGCATCGATCTTTTCGCGACTTTCTCGTGGACCGAATTGATCCACAATCACCCACCCAAGATCTTTTCACTGTGAAGGATTTAGAGCTAACTGAGGGGCTTTTCTTCAAATTCTCATCCATTCCTCACGAGGCGCTGTCGGAACACGTCCATTATGCATGTCGCCATCCCGTCTATCATCTCACTCAAGTTCGGAAGCCACTGGAGGCACCCAATAGGTCTGTTGGCATATTTCTCAACGAGCAAATTGTGTACTGGGTGGAAGTCTGTGTGAGGACGGAAGGTTACATCAGCATATCATCGTTCCCCGAATGGGCCAAGGCACGAATCATCAGTAGCGTTCATTTGGGGTTCTTATTCAGATTCATGTTCCTTCAGTTAAGCGTTGATTGGACCGCCAAAGATGTCATTCACATATTGGTCGAAGTGTTTAGCAACGTGAGCGGAGACCTTGGGTTCTTTTCGAGATTGCAGGAGGCGTGTGAGTTGACAGATGATTCGGTTGCGTTGTGCCGTCACCTTATGTCTGAGGACCTAATGTCCTTATACACCCCCGATTTGGCTCGGGCACTCAGGTCTCTTTTTGTATCATTCAACAATATCAGGCAGCATTCCGGGGCGCTCGCAGTGATCGAAGAAATTGTCAAACTCTGGCACAAGCTAGTTGCTATCTATCCAATCCCACACACCCCAGATTTGGAATGCGTAGAGGCGTATGATATTGAACTCGTACGGATGGATGGGTCAATGAAAGATGCACTTGCTGCGTATCTTGGTAGCGGTAGCGGTAGTGGTAGTCACGCTGGTGCTAAGGCACCAGGGAAAGGTGTAAAAGCTATTTTTATCGGAACGAGGCGGAATGATCCTCATGGAGGTAAGTGGCGATCTTAATTAGCAAAAAATTGTTTCTAAAATCAAGTTCCTCTTTCCCTCTCCTTGGCTTTGCCTCCGCCTTCACGTTCCTATCTTATCGTGGCAACTCGCATTTTTTACTGCCTTTTAGCATCACCATCCGTCCATCCGTATTATCTTTGGCGAACGCGTTCCCAGCTAAGCTGAGTTTCGTGACTCCCACGGATCTAGGTTAGCCAGGACTTCAAAGGATTCATCCTATCATCAATTGGATGTATCATGATGATGGGGCGTTCCTTGGGCATTTTAAGGTACCGTATTGCTCATTGTACGACCTTGGGTACGTGTCGAATCAACTTTGAACTTGTACACAATGGGTTATTCATTTGTCACACTCGATTAATTGGCTTGGATTAGGAATACATCATTAGGATCGGTATATACCTATCGGAATCTTGTACCGCCAGCGTGGCCCTGTCAATCAAACTCGGCGAGCTTGGCATTTCTTCCTTGCGTTCTGTCAATTTCGTTTTCCCTGCATCAGAAACTATCTCCCTCACCTCCGCCCGAGCGCGTTTCGAATAAGGGAAGGTACCTTGGAAGGAGGGCGTCTGTTGGTGACCTTCCACTTTTGTCCCTCATGAAGAGACACATCCATGCCGTCGTCGCCGCAGGGGTTGTTTACTGCCTTCATTTGCTTTCCGCGACGCTGGGGCTGCCGCAAGCCTCATCTTCTGTTGCTCCCTCAGGATAGTACTGTCGTCGACAAGGTGGCTTGCCCAGCAAAAGATGTAGCGTTCTACACCAATTTGACAGCGAGGGATCACTATTTAGACAAAATCTACGTCTTTGCGTGCGTGTGTGACTTGAATATTGTTATCGAAGACGTGATGTGTCAACTCCAAAGTCGGACTGCAGAGCACATTAAGCGAGCATCGGTTCAACGACCAAAAGTCCAAACGAGATCACGCTTTCGATCTACTACCATTCCGGACTTCATCTGAGAATGGCCGTTTAGAATTCCACAGGTAACGAAAAAGTGAATAAGATTCCAGAGAGTAACAAAATGCATGTTACGTACAACTATGAGAAGGAACAGGAACGTCTCAGTACTCGGCACGGAGAAAGGACACGAGAAGGAAGGAGCCGCTCAGAGGACGGGTCGTAGGGCCGCGCGATCCCAAAATCGTGGGAGGAAAATGAACAACTGCACTTTCGCGCATTCATACATTGACTTGCTGACACGCTGACGTCGGTCATTGGTGTACTATGCAGATTTCGACAGGAAAGGAAGCGAACCGAAGCCTTGGTCGTGTAAGTCCTGACATGATATACTGCAATTCCTGCACCCATTCACTCTGATTCGTGATTCAGAGTATAATGAATCATCGAGCGAGAGACTGTGTTGCTGCCAACATCTGCATGTTAGCGGACGAGCACAAGCTAGGAGCTGATGGGAGAACTTTTCCTTGCAACGCAAGTCATTCCCGAAGTGTATGAATACTTGACCATGAATACTCCACAATTGCGTCTCGAAGCAATAATCAGCAGTGTAATCGAGAACACAAGATATGCGGAGGTATTTTTGGATCATGGCGATTGTGATCGAAAAAAGGTGATTGTGGTCCTCATCGAAGAGATGAGACATAGCCGGGGCCGGAGGAAACAAATGAGGTCTCGGACTTAAGTAATCGGTGATAGATATGGCACGATGAATAAAGTCCCACAGCTGAGCCCGTGGGGGATTCTTAAATTAGATGACGGCATAGTGGCTGGTTGCAGTTTTGCAAAGTGATTCGTTTTGAGCTGCGATCATGATTCATGATGAGGAGACTAGACTCATTGATTCTATTTCCAATGGTTCCAAGTCAAGATGAAACCAGCAATGGGCTTACAACGGGCAGAGAAGTCGATCGTTCGGTGTGGCGCCGACGGGTTTCGCCGAGCTGGATCCGGACAAACATGCTCGCGGGTGCAGTCGCGCATTATCGCCATATTGGGTTTCCGCCTTCGAATCTACCGCAACGCCAATAGAGCCTGGTAACCTGCCTAGACGTTGAAACACCCCCAAAGCAGAAAGATACCACGTCTCATCTTCACCTTGCCTAGTAATATTTTTAAGCCAAAATCTTACTGCTTTCCTTCACCCAACGTTGTCCATCCGCGACCATGACTCGGGTGCATGTGTGTGCCTCACCTTTCGTTTTTTTTCTTGGAAGGCCTGATGACAATTCCATTACGATACGCCGGATTGATAACTAATACTCCTGTGATTGACTCTTGCAGAAGGGGGGCATCGCTAGATCCAGTGAGTTGTGAAACATTATTTATACCCAGTCCTGCGGTGGCGTTACAATATGATCTTACGATCGTTAGCTATCGATTTTACGGCCCTGTGCGCTTTCACATCACCGTCCCACCCAATCGCTGCTCCTCTCTCATATGGCCGCCAAAAGACGAACTTGACACGCTTCGCCGTGATGACCGATCGAATCCTAATTATTCTGTCTCCATCCTTTTCTCATCACGTAGAACTCGAAAGAAGATATACTTCAATCAAGGTATGATGTTACTTCGCTCGGTGCCACCTCGCTGAAATGGCCTATACTGGACTAGTTGGAGGCGAAGCCGCCGGAATGAGAGCACGTCGACGTCATGGGCTGTTGGTCAACATGGTATGGATATCTCCGACTCTTCTAATTACCTGTGCGCAACATCGGGAAACAAGGCACGCCCAAGCAAATGAAGCAGCTTTACGGACGTCCTGTCCACCGGTGAGTTCACTGGGTGTGGATCCGCAACGATTAAATCCCTTTCATACAATCACCTCATTCGAGTCTCCCGGGGTGTTTCCCCGGACACCTATATCTAGTGCATAATCTGGGCTTCGGTAACGCGATGACTAATGTGAATGTTGTTTAGGTCTTACGCATTCACAAGGTGCATTAGAGGACGAGAAGCGCATCGCATGATTCACGTTCGAGGCACTAAAATCATGAACTTTTTACGAGAGGTCGGTCCATTTGGCATTTGAACGAACGTCACAAACTTCGTTTTCTTAGCATCTGCTCCCATAACAGCATCTCATCCGCATGAGCTACATTTTCTATGCAGGGTTGGCGTTTATGGAGGTCTTGATTGGAGCCCTGGATGACGAAACGTGGCGCGACATGAACACCTCAACAAGCCGTTACTTGAAGCCGCTGGGAGGTAACTACTCTCTGCCTAGTTCAAATTCGCTGTCAAGACTCCAAGTCATGGTGTGGAGACCGTCCAACCGACGAGTGTCTTGCTCCCCCACGAGCGCGTGCCATAGACGCGTTCAAAGGAGCTGCTGACAAAGAAAAGTGCTCGCGTTGGACATGTGGTATTTTCAGGTGATGACAGTAGCTCAATTTCGGTGTTGGACAAAAGTGGAGTTATTCGCACTTGCCTTTGATGATACGGAAGTGGACTCGAGACGAGCTTTAGGATCGTAAGCGATTCTACATCTTCCCCATTCTTTCATTTAACCCCCCCTTTTTAGAATGGACATCTAACATTATGGATGCTGTCATACAAGCACTCGCCGTCGGCTCTGCAGGCACGGACCTCTCAACTTTCAGTCTATTGTCAATCCATCGTGTAGAAAGATAGAATGGTGGGGTGACCCGGAATGTGAAATGGGGCAAGATTTCTAATTCCCGAACACACGCTCTACGGAAATGATTGCGAATGGGATGGGACTCCTTTTTCCTTTCCCATTTGGTTGTGATTTCATGTAATGGGCTTTCTAGAAATTGGAGAGTAGTGATTGTTCTTTGACTGGTACGTGCTGTTGACGCGCTGCCTTTCAACTGAGTGTGGCAGATCGCTCCATTGCGCTGAGAGGGCTTCGCCTGTGTGCAATATTATGTCCACGCGACGTTTGAACGTTGAAGATTGGACACAAGCATCGGTCCAGAGGCCGTGAGCACAGTGGCGACGGGAATATCGATAAAGCGACTTGTCAATGGAGTATCTGGGATGGAGGACGGTTCTTTCTTACTTTATTTTCGCGTATCTATTTCGTAGACATGCGCAATTTTCCACAACTACTTCGTCCGATCAGGATTTCATCGATGATGAAAATGTGGACGAGGACTTGGAACATCTCGACACGCGCGGAGGGAGAACGTAAGAAGGGAGCAGTTGCTCAGAGGGATCTACTTTAGTAGAGGCTGGGATCCTGCCTATCAGAGGGAGACAGTTGGTTCTGGCGATCCTGAATATAAATCATCGTTGGAAGGAAATGAAGGAATCTACACTCGTGAATTAATTCGACTCGCTGACCCCGGTCATGACTGTTTTATGCCGACTTCGGCACGAAAAGAAGTGGTCATTCAAGTAAACGTCGCGTAAGTCCTGACAGCTACTCCTGCATGCATGCATTCAGTCTCTCATTTGATCTAAGTCGCCTGAGCATGGCTGCTAATTTAGGCGTAATTAACCACTGAGAAATTGTGTCGCCTGCGGCCCACATCTGCATGTCATCGGGCATGCGCAAGACAGGAGCGGATAGAAAAACTTTTCTTTGCAAAGCAAGCCATTCCCAAGTGGTGTGAACACTCGAATGTTCTACAATTGCGTGTCGAAGAAATTATCATTATAATCAACGGTGGACCCAACATATGCAGGAGTCTTGAGCCGTGGAGATTGGGATCGAACCAACGTGCTTGGGGAGCCGTGGAAGAGACGAGATGTGGCAGGATCCTGTTGAGGAAGTGATTATGTTCCACGAGGTGGAAAGAAGCTTCGAGATTGACATAACATGTCATACAACCAGAGCGTTTTTGGGATGCGGTTTGTTGCATACGATCATGATGAGGAGATCGAGACCACCGGGACTCATTACATAATACCATTTTCGATGGGGGAGGGCGTTAACGGGTTTCACCGAGCTGGATCACCGGGAATCCGGAGCGATGATGTAGGTGTGTTACCCAATCCCTCCTATTCTGACCCACATGTTCGGGCGAAGGGCCCGTCATCACTGTAGGGATTGGTTTGCTGCCTGTATAAGGGTCGTCTTACCGTACTGTCATCGTTGTTCCGTGGTGAACCCATAGGTCCGTCCTCTGGAGGTGTGTTCAAATTCAGATGTCACTCGAGGTCCAGGAGAACAAGCATTAATTCAAATTTGTGTCAGGGCACCATTTTTAAACGTACCACTTACTTGCTTCGCCCGGGTCACAGTGACACGCCAAGGTCCTTAGCTGTGCTAAATCCTCCCATTCCGCTATCTTCTTGTTACTTGCGGGGCGGATCACTATACATTTTGCGAATATGCAACAGCCCATGTGCGCCTGGCACTGGCCTTCCTGGAATGTTCGTTCCTGTTGCCGAACTTTCAAATCTCCCGTAGCGAACCTAGAACAGGACCAAGATAGATGGGTGCAAGCAGCTAGGATCGATTTCTCAATTGGTTCTGCATTAGAGGATGGAATCTGCCGCAAGACTTTCCATAAGTGCGCCAATGGGATGAATTGCGCCTTGCGGCGATCTCATGGCTGCGCAGCCTCTACTTGAGTGTCATCACCTGCTGCGTGTCTGACCTTTCATCCCCACCCTTCCATCCACCCATTATTGACCATGTCGCTGAAGCAGAGGGTCAATCATCTCCTCGCCGTGGGAGGCGATGTTGCAATTCCGGTTCTCACCGCCGTCGATACTGCATCGGGCGTGTTCCCTCCTCTGCAGGCCGCCACCGGTGCCACACTCTTCATCCTCACAGAAATCAAAGTTAGTAACAATTTATACCGATCCTGGAAAGGAAGTTGACAATCCGCATTGTGCAGAAGTTCAGGGGAAATAAGGAAGAATGGGAGCGTTTTGGAAAACATATCGGGGACGCCATGGTCGATGTGGTTACGGCCGTCGATTCGTATGATGGATCTAACGAAGAGCCTAAGCCGTGGGTGGAAGGCGTCAAGAAGCTGAGCGAGTAAGTAGATCTGCTCTATGCAGGCGAAACCATCCTATAACGTAGGTACTTCGTAGGGCGCTGGAGCGCATTCGAATTGAAATTGGTCGATTGCGTGGAAAGATGAAAGGGCAATCTGGTATCCGCAACTTGTTCTCTCATATGAAGAACCCCAGTAGGATCGATGATTTAAAGAAAGATTTTAGCGAAGCCTTGGCAATGTTCCAGGTAATTCCGTTTGATCCCCGATAATGTTTCTGTTCTGATCTCATCGAAACCACATAGCTGCAGACAAACTTGACGGTTGGTGCAATGGCAAACAACCAAGATCGGTTAACTCGTGGAGTAGAAGATTCCTCAGTTCTGAATGAACTCAAATATCCCATTGTCCCCCATCACGATTCAACTCACCCGTGCCTGCCAGACACTAGGATCGATCTGATCGAGCGTATTATGACGTGGTGTCGTACCACGGAGGATAGCAAGAATCGTGTATTACTCCTAACGGCCGTGGCCGGTGCCGGCAAGACATCTGTTGCGCTCTCGATCGCAGAGGAGTGTAAAAGAGAAAACATGTCATCAGCAAGCTTCTTTTTCAAAGCAGGCGAGCAGTCGCGGCCGGACCATCTGTTCAGCGGCATGGCCCGATCTCTGGCAACCCACGACGCTGCATACCGTGCCTCCCTCATATCCGCTCTTCAGGAGGATCCAGCCCTCTCGACTGCCTCGTTCCCGACGCAATTCGAGAAACTAGTGGCTGAACCTCTCCGTCTCAGGACATCCTCGTCTGACCGTCCCATTGCGATTATCATTGATGCATTAGATGAGTGCGACACAAAGTCATTCCCACGTCTTGCCGATATCCTTCGGAAAGCAGTCCCAAAACTACCACCTAACATCAAATTCTTTCTCACTTCGAGACAATTTGACCTCGTTGATCGTTTCCTATCACCTAATTACCCTATCGATCGCTTCACCATCGATCTTTCGGACGATGCTAACCTGCATGACTGTTCTATCTACATCCAATCACAACTACACGAACTGAAGGACGTGCATCCTGGTTTGGAAGATGGAATCGGGGAAGAAGATACATTAGTCCAAAGGATACGGGAGCGGGCGGGTGGCTTGTTCATTTGGATCAGTACTGTCTTTGATTACATGAAGGTCAGCGGTAGTGATGCTGTGAAGATGCTGAAGAACCTGCTGGATGAAGATCTCAACCGATCAAAGGCATCCGCTGAGGAAATGATGGATAGGCTGTATGCGAGTATTTTGGAGAAGTGTAACTGGAAGGATGATGATTTTGTGCATGACTACCCGATCGTGATGGGAGCAATTCTAATTGCACAGAAGCCACTATCTGTTGCGGCCTGGGATGCTATCCTCTCACCACTGCTGGAGTCGGACGTCCGATATACATTAGCTCAACTTTCACCTCTCGTCTCAGGAATAAGGGATCTTGGCAAGCCAATTCGTATTCTGCACCAATCCTTTCGTGACTTTCTCATGGACCGTGTCGATCCACAATCACCCATACTTGGTCGATTTGGAGTGGATGCGAGGAGGGAGAACAATAGAGTGGCCCTGCGCTGCATCGAAATCTTGAATAAAGATCTTCCCACTATGAAGGATTTGGGGCTGATGGAGGACTTACCCCAAAAAGCTAAGCTGCCCCCCATTCCTCAAGAAGCGCTGTCTGAACATGTCCATTATGCATGTCGGCATTTCGTGCATCATCTCAGGCAATGTCAGGAGCCACTGGAGGCACCCAATGGGCCTATTCACGCATTCCTTAATGAGCAAATATCGCGCTGGGTGGAAGTCTGTGTGAGGACGGAAGGGTATATTAGTATATCATCGTTCCCTGAATGGGCCAAGGTATGAATCATCAGTAGCGATCATTTGGGGCTCTTGTTCAGTCTCATGTTCCAATCAGTTGAACGTTGATCGGGCGTCCAAAGAAGTCATTCACATGTTGGTCAAAGTGTTTCGCAATGTGAGGAGAAATCTTGCATTCTTTTTAAGATTGCAGGAGGCATATGAGTTGGCAAGTGATTCAGTTGCACTGTGCCGTTGCCTTGTGTCTACGGACTCAGAGTCACACACCCCGGAGCTGGCTCGAGCACTCGGGAATCTAGCTGCATCACTCACCCACCTTGGACAACATTCTGAGGCACTCCTTGTGAATGAAGAAAGCGCGAAGCTCTGGCGTGAGCTGGTTGCCACCCATCCAACATCATACACCCCAGATTTGGCTGGAGCGCTCCGGAATCTTAATGGATCACTTAACAAAGTTAGACACCATTCCAAGGCGCTCACAGTGGTTGAAGAAAGTGTGCAACTCTGGCGTGAGCTAGTTGCCACCCATCCAACATCATACACCCCGGATTTGGCTCAAGCGCTTGGGAATCTAGATGCATCGCTCACCCACCTTGGACGACATTCTGAGGCACTCCTTGTGAATGAAGAAAGTGTGAAGCTCTGGCGCGAGCTAGTTGCCACCCATCCAACATCATACACCCCAGATTTGGCTGGAGCGCTCCGGAATCTTCAAGTATCACTTGACAAAGTTGGACGCCATTCCGAGGCACTCACGGTGATTGAAGAAAGTGTGCAACTCTGGCACAAGCTAGTTGCCACCCATCCAATATCATACACCCCGGATTTGGCTCGAGCGCTCCGGAATCTTAAAGCATCACTTGACAACGTTGGACGCCATTCCGAGGCACTCATGGTGATTGAAGAAAGTGTGCAACTCTGGCGCGAGCTAGTTGCCACCCATCCAACCTCATACACCCCGGATTTGGCTCGAGCGCTCCGGGATCTTTTTGTATCACTCAACAAAGTTGGACGTCATTCCGAGGCGCTCACAGTGATCAAAGAAAGTGTGCAACTCTGGCGCGAGCTAGTTGCCACCCATCCAACATCATACACCCCGGATTTGGCTCGAGCGCTCCGGAATCTTTTTGTATCACTCAACAACGTTGGACGACATTCTGAGGCACTCATGGTGATCGAAGAAAGTGTGCAACTCTGGCGCGAGCTAGTTGCCACCCATCCAACATCATACACCCCGGATTTGGCTGGAGCGCTTGGGAATCTAGATGTATCGCTCACCAACCTTGGACGACATTCTGAGGCACTCCTTGTGAATGAAGAAAGCGTGAAGCTCTGGCGCGAGCTAGTTGCCACCCATCCGGCATCATACACCCCGGATTTGGCTCGAGCGCTTGAGAATCTTGTAATATCTCTTGACAACCTCGGATGTCATTCTGAGGCACTCCTTGTCAAGAAAGAAAGGCTCAGACTCCTACGCCAGTAGTTGTCATTTATCTGATATCATCCACTCCGGGTTCGACACGATCATTCTGCAGCCTCACCAGCTCATGCAAAAGATGCCAAGGCTCTAACTTTCGTTGAAGATTCTATTGCTATTTGTTGTTCGCAGCGTGTTACTCACCCGACATTGTGTGTTTTCGGCATAGCCTTGGTAATGCAGACTCGACCTGTTTTCATGCCTAGGGCCGCAGATCAGGAGCCACTTCATTCCCAATACTCTGATGCTTATGCACACAGGTCTTAACTACCGTATTCCTGCATCGCCCATGCACCACATCCATACATGTCTTGGAAGATGCAAGAAGCGAGCATGTCGTCAACCCCATGTAAGCCTCTGGAGCGATATGTATATCATGCGGCATGTCCGGGACAATCACCCAGCTTGAATACCGGTCCACAAGGCTGAACTCTGCTTCACCATCGTTATATCCCCATCACTCCTCCCCGAGACATACAGAAACATACTTGATCGACCAGAAAGCTGACAACCATTCACTGCGTGGAGCGGAATTGGGAGGGCCAAGTTGGCAAGCACTTGTCCTGCCGCGAAAGAGAATATTGTCAGGGTCAACAGAGAATTCCATTGCTCCATTGCCTAGTCGTGACGTGGGGCATTGTGGCAGGAGCCCATATTGCTACCATTCTTGTCCACTTCATACTCCATATCTGTATTAATTATGTAGGACTTAGGACTCGATCTCCATGCACGTCTTATGCCACATATATATTCTTGTAACTACCTTCCGCTGGGAGAACAGGGGACTCTCACCTCACTCAACCGATAGCGTTTTCGCGATGACGGTATAGCCCTGAGGGGGCTGCGCATGTCTGTGTGTGTGTGTGTGCGACGTCTCCATGGTTAAAGATTGGACACAGGCATCGGTCCAGAGGCCATGTGAAATTTGCGGGGCAAGGCTCGCCTTGTGTGACCTCAATGTGATGTCATCGTTGGTCATACTAAGCGGGTTAAGCAAACATCAGTTCATCAACCAAAAGTCCAGGCGAGATTGCACATTTTCCGGAACTACTTCATCCACGAACGGCCATCCAGGATTTCATCGGAGTCATGAACGCATGTTTGGGAAGGAAAAGGGACGCCTTGGCACGGAGGAAGGGCATAAGAAGGGCGGAGCTGGCTCAGAGCTAGGGAACTCAACTTTGTGGAAAAACACGCCGTCTCAGCCAGCGGATGGCTGGAGCCGAAAACCGTCCAGTACGTGGGCTGCGCACGGAAGGATTGCAGCTATATGAAAGTTTTAATTGTGGAGCTGCCTTGACCGATCATTAGTGTGAGAGATGACTCGGGAGTCTGATAATTATCAGCCTGAGCGAGATGCTTGTCAGGACTCATTATCGAGGAACCTGTCCGGGGTCGATTTGGAATATATGAGTTGATTCTCATGCTACTTTCGCGAGGTTTACAAGCAATGAAGAATGCGGTGCAGTTTCTAATGAGCACCGATCTGGAGAGCGCACCGCCGATTCCCGAATCCGGAAGTCAACAACTCGGCAAGCTTGGCATTTTCTTCCTTATGTAATAGCATCGTCCCGAGGATGTGATACTAATCAGTGACTTCCGACTCCATTCCTTTCTGACTCCAGGACGCAGAAGGGCGGACTGTTTGACAAGTGAGTGCGGGAATTCGACCTTGATCGGTTGATCAGCCGATCACTCTTCGAGTAAGAAATAATGCCCCAAGGAGGAGGCCACAATATCGATCCTCCCTTCTTCCACATCTGTCCCTTGCCAGACATATCTATGATGACCATTACCTCCCAAGTCCCTTTCTCACGCTTCTCCCTCTATCACCTACAAAGCGGCTTGCGCAGCAAAAGACACGGGGTCCGCTTTCATCTGTGCGATCAATTTGGCGAGGAACCGTTCTTTAGAAATCATCTTGCTGTTTTCCCTCATCTGATGCTGTCCTTCTGCGGTAAGCACGAACCCAACTTGGGCGCGCGAGGTGTTGTTATGTAGCTCTCAGCGGGGACACTCGGATAACGGGGAACAACCAACTTGATATTGTAACCGCACAGCGGTATAAGTAGTTAAAGTAATAACACGAATATCAGACAAAAGTAATAAGAAAGTGAGATACGCGACAGCGCTACATGTGGAAGGCAATCAACAGTGAAACACGAAACACATGGTAAAAGGGTATCATATCGGATAGCCGATATGGGCATGATATGCGTACCGGCGCGTCGTCATGTCTTGCTCAAACAACACGAGGTGTGGTCAAAATTGATCTTGCCGCAGTCGATCTATTTCAACATTGTCCTTCCATGGTGAGCCTATAGACAGGATTTTGGGCAGCGACATTTGAATACGCCAGTCTCTGGGGTGGAGGTATGTCCTGATTCAATTCAAATTCAAAACAATATTTACAACTGACTTACTCGAGGCCCAATTACTTGAGGCCCAACACCTAAGTGGAGCGGAATTAAGCATACAAATTTGTCAGCCAGCGTTAGAGCGCCATCTTCCCCCTTATCTGCTTTGTTGGGATCCAGTGACACCACAAGGTCGTTAGCCCCAGCGGCAATGCCAAATCCCCCCATTCTGCCATCCTCTCGGATCCTGCCTTGTTACTGCCTATTGTGCATCACCACTCGCTTTGCAACCACGCGACAGTCCACATACACCTGCTGCTGGTACGGCCCAGCTTCCTACGAGATCGAAGTATGTATGTTCATGTTGCAAACTTCACACCAAATCTCACGTAGCAAGCCCTAGGGTACTTAGAGAGTCAGCATAAGTAGCTGCGAACCATGTCAGTTGATTCTGCGTGAGAGGATGGAATCTGCCACAGGACTTCCAAAGGGATGAATTGCACTCGCCGTGAACTTGCGCAGTGTCCACTCGAGTATTATCATCCGTTGCGCATCAGACCTTTCCACTTCATCCTTCCTTCTGCTTGTCATTGGTCTCCTAGCCGCGGGAGGTGATGTTGCACTTCCAGTTCTCGCCGCTGTCAATGCTGCATTGGGGTTGTTCCCTCCTTTACGATCTCCCACTGGTGCCACACACCTGATCCTCAGCGAGATGAAAGTTAGTAATAATTTATACCGAGCCAGGAGCGGAAGTTAACAATATGCATTATGTAGATGTTCAGGGGAAATGGGAGAGTTTTGGGAAATATATCGCAGACAATGTGGTTGCAGTCATCGATTTGTACGATGCGTCTAACGAAGAGGTTAAGCCGTGGATGGAAAGTGTCACGAAGCTAAGCGAGTAAGTAGTATCTGCTCTTATGCAAGCCATTGCTGTCGCATAACATCGGTACTCTGTGACGCGCGGCAATGTATTCAAATCGAAATCGATCGATTGCGCGGAAAGATGGAAAGACAGTCAGGCACCTGCAACCCCCTCCCCCACACGAAGAACCCCAGCAGGATTGATGATTCAAGGGAAGATTTTAGCGCGGCCTCGACATTCTTCAAGGTAATTGTGTTTGATCCTCGTCGGTCATGTTGCTGCTCTGATCTCATTATCGTAACCATGTAGCTGCGGACAAGTTTGACAGTTGGTGCAATAGCAAACAATCAAAATCGGTTAATTCGTGGAGTCGTGAATTCTTCTGTTCCCAATGGACCCAGGTATCCCATTGTCACCCATCTCAGGCATGCCTGAAAGGCACTAGGACCGGTCGGATCGAGTATATTATGGCCTGGTGTCGTAACACGGGGAATAGCGAGAATTGCGTATCACTGCAGAGCGCCGTGGCCGGCGTCGACAAGACATCTATTGCGCTCTCAATTGCAGAGTGCGAAAGAAATCGTTTTCAGAGCGGGTGAGCAGTCGCGGCCGGATCGTCTGTTTAGCAGCATGGCTCGATCTCTAGCAACAAACGACCCAGTATGCCGCATAGCGACTTTTCAGAAGAATCCAGCTCTCTTGCCGGCCCCGTTCGCGAAGCAATTCCGTGGCTGGACCTCTCCGTCTGGTTGTCCTATGGTGGTCATCATTGATGTGTTAGATGAACACTTCGAGACAGTTCAACCTCGTTGACCGTTTCCTATCATCCAATTACCCTATTGATCGCCTCACTATCGATTTTTCAGACAATGCTAATGTCCATGACTGCGCTGTCTACATCCGCTCACAACTGCGCGAACTGAAGGATGTACCTCCTGGTTTGAATTGAGGACGAGGATAAATTGGTCCAAGCCATATTGCAGCGTGGCTTGTTCGTTTGGATCGGTACCATCTTTCGCTACGTGAAAGTTGCTAGCGGTGAGCTTGCGAGGGCGCTAAACACACTTCTCAATCCCAGCGTCAACCAATCGAAGGTCTCCGCTGAGAAAGTGATGGATGCGCTATATACGAGCATCTTAGAGAAGTGCGATCGGGAGTACAATGATTTTGTGTATGACGGCCCCATTGTGATGGGAGCAATCCTAAGGCCACTAGCATGGGATGTCATTCCGTCACCGCTCCTGAAATCATCCGTCCGGTATATGTTGGCCGAACTTACACCCCTCCAGGAGTCGAGGAGTCGAGGAGTCAGACAGACCGATCCGTATTGTGCATCGATCTTTTCGCAACTTTCTGAATTGATCCACAATCACCTACCCAAGGTCTTTCACTGTGAAGGATTTAGAGCTGACTGAGGGGCTTTTCTTCCCACACTTCAAATTGTCACCCATTCCTCCCGGAACACGTCGATTATGCATGTCGCCATCTCGTCTATCTCACCCAAGTTCAGAAGCCACTAGAGGCACCCAATAGGTCTGTTGCCATATTTCTCAACGAGCAAATAGTGTACTGGGTGGAAGTCTGTATGAGGATGGAAGGTTACATCAGCATATCATCGTTCCCTGAATGGGCCAAGGTACGAATCATCAATAGCGTTCATTTGAGGATCTTGTTCAGATTCATGTTCCTTCAGTTGAGCGTTGATCTTGGGTTCTTTTCGAGATTGCAGAAGGCGTGTGAGTTGGCAGATGATTCGATTGCGTTGTTGCCATTACCTTACGTCTGTGGACTCAATTATACACCCCCGATTTGGCTCGGGCGCTCAGGTCTCTTTTCGTATCACTCAACAATCTCAGGCGGCATCCCGGGGCGCTCGCAGTGATCGAGGAAATTGTCAAACTCTGGTGCAAGCTAGTTGTTATCTATCTAATCTCACACCTCGGATTTGGCTCGAGCACTTGAGAATCTTTTTGCGTCACTTGAAAAACTTGGACAGCATCCCGAAACACTTCCAGCGATTGAAAAAAGTGTCAAGCTCTGGCGCGAGCTAGTTGCCGTCCATCCGACACAGTACACCCCAAGTTTGGCTCGAGCGCTAGGAATCTTTTTGCGTTACTGCACAAACTCGGACGGCATTCCAAGGCGCTCGTGATGATCGAGGAAAGTGTAAGACAACTAGTTGCCATTCACCCGACATCATGCACCTCAGATTTCACTCGAGCGCTCGAGTCTCTTTTTGTATCACTCCACAACCTCGGACGGCATTCCGAGGCGCTCGCGGTGATCGAAGAAAGTGTCAAACTCTGGCGCTCGAGAGTCTCGATGTATCACCCACCAATCTTGGACACCCTGAGGCGTTCCTCATGAGCGAAAAAAGTGTCAAACTCGACAATCTTGGACGCCATTCCGAGGCGCTCTTTGTAAATAAAGAAAGGCTCAGAGTCTTGTACTACTAGTTGTTATTCATCCGATATCTGGGTTTGACACGATCACTCTGCAGCCTCACCAGCTCATGAAGAGCTGCCCGCCCCTGCGCTTCACTGAAGAATATATTTCTATTAGTCGTTTGCTATCCGCTACTCACCCACTATTGTGCATGTTTGATGTAGCCTTGGGAATGCAGACTCAGTCCGTTTTCGTGCTTTGGGCGATGTGCGGACGTAGTCGTCATCATGCTATCATTCCTAATTCCCTGATGTTTATGGGCACGAGCCTTGACTATCACATTTCTGCATCGCTCACGCACCGTTTTGTCTCGGAAGACACAAGATGCGAGTATGTGTAGCACTCACACGACAATTGTTGGCATCAATCCTACGCAAGCGTCCAGTGCGTCCTGTAAATCAGGAAGCATATTCACAATCTTCAAACACAAGCCTACGAGATTGAACTTCGCTTCATCATGTCATATCCCCACCACTCTTCCTCACGATGCGCAGAAATATACTCGATCAACCAGAGAACCCGCAATCACTTGCCGCATTGGGCGCAACAGGTAATTCTGCCCCGCCAACGATTGTCAGGGCGGCAGGTTCAAACAGGATAAATACATTTGTGGTCAGAGAACTGGATGGCCTAGTCGTGTGAGGTCAACCCCAGGTCTATCGGTGGCAGCAGTTCTGCCATTCTCAATCTCATCAGTTTCACGCACACCTCGTTGTCATATCCGTTCTTGTAACTGCGTAAGAACAGGGACCCTATGTAGTCTCGCTCAGCCAACAGAGTATTTGTAGGAACGGTATTGCCCTGAGAAGGCTTTGCCTGTGTGCATATATGTCCACGCGACGTCCGAATGTTAAAGATTGGATACAAAGATCGATCCAGAAGCCGTGGGCACAGTGGCGGCGGGAATATTGATAAAGCGGGACTTGTCAATAGAGTATCTGGGACGAAGGGGACTGGCTTTTTGTTATTTCTTACTTTATTTTCGTGTATCTACTTATTCCGCGGAACCCACACAGTGGAAGCTCGCTTTCGATCTACTACCATTACATTTTCTGGAATTATTTCGTCCAAGAACAGCCATCCAGGATTTCATCGAAGCGAATGTTTCGTACGATTGTGGGAAGGAAAACAACGTCTCGGCATGGAGGAAGGGCGTAAGATGGGTGGAGCTGCTCAGAGGGAGGCTGTTAGTTCTTGCAATCTTCAAGGTAAATATGAATCATTGGGAGAAACGAAATGCTTGGAGAACCGCCTGTTCCTGCACGCTACTCATTCCAACCATGAATTCGGTTCACTGACCTTGGTCATTTTGATGCGTGAGGATTCCTCCAAGATTCCTTGCAGCTGGAATTCAAAACAGTGTCGACGTGCACTCAACTTTACGCCGGCCTGGTGGATGGTTGGAGTCGAAGGCCATACGCTGCAAAAGGATTGCGGCTATGTGAAAGTTTTACCGGTGGAGACTTTCTTCCCCTGCCGTGATCGATCATCAGACTCAGGGGACTAAGCGGCGAGACGCTTGTCGGGACTCATTAAGATCATTTCAAGTTGAAATGGGCATGGCTGCGATCAGAAATGGGGCGCAAGCTGGCCTGATTGCTTCAAATTGTTGGATCCAGGTGCGGAGGTTATCGCCGGGAGCCCGGAGTGAAGAGGCGCACCAGCGACCCATCATTGCTGAAAGGTTGGGTTGCTGTCTTCCCGGATCCGGACAACATATTCACTTGCCATAATTTCGCAATTTCGCTTTGACGTGTTGGAAACATTCCGGACCTGTACTCCCGACTCCACGGCGCAGAGGAGCAGGCAAGGAGGAGGCCCCAATCCATCCCTTCCTCCACATCTGTCCCTCACGTCAAGTGTGAAGAGCACCACAGGACCACAACCTTCCGCAAATCCCAAGTCCCATTAATTAATTGTCACGCTTCTCCTCCTGTCATCTACAAAGCGGCTAGCGCAGCAAAAGACACGGGGTCCCGCTTTCATCTGTGCGATCAATTTTGCGAGGAGCCGTCCTTTAGCCGTGCAGAATCTTACTCTTTTCCCCCATCTGACGCTGCCCTTCTGCGGTAAACACTCAGGCGCGGAGTGTGCTTAAAATTCCAACTTCCCTTTTCTTTCCAGCGTGACGAAACGTATGTTGGACTGAAGGAACCACGGATAGTCTGCTGTCTAACTCTTACAGACACGGGGAAGCGCTGGATTCAGTAAGTCGAGAACTATTACATAGTCCCTCAGTGACGCTAATCTTGCCGTTATCAGCCAACGATTTTATGATCTATGTATACCCCCACACAGTTCCTCTATCCAATTTCTACCGCACGGGTACGGGTCCCAAAAGATGAATTTGATCTACTTAGCAATGATGACCCATCTTTTTCTCATCGCGTTGAAGCTCGAGAGAAGAAATGTTTCAATCAAGTCTTCGATGTTGCCCCGTTCTTGAGTGCCTCACTAAGGTGGCTTATGCTATATAGACTGGTCGGAAGTGGAGACGCTATAGCCAGAACACATCGACATTGGTCAACACGGCAGTACCGATATCTCCAACGAGTCTTTCTCAATTTCATGCCCACAATAAGGAAACGAGGCGCAACCGAGCAACACCCAAGATGGAGTAGCGTCTTGGAAGTCCTGTTCATCGGTGAATCCACAGTACATACTCAGGGCATTGCCGCCACATTTAAATTTGCAACGATTAGATCACTTTTATACTAGTGTCACCCTTCTGTGGACTTGATTCGGGCCTCCCCGAATATCTGCTGTATCCAGTGCATACATCAGGCTCCAGGCAGTGCGACAGCCAATGGAAATCCTGTTCAGGTCTTGCGTATTCACAGGGTCGTTAAAGAACGAGAAGCCTATCGCATCGAGACAACCAAAAAACATGAATCATTCCTAGAGGTTGGTTCATTTGGCATTTTGAGCGTTCGTGAGCGTTTTGTTTTCTTAACATTTACCAGCACCTCTTCTGCAGGGTTGGGGTTTCCGAAAGACATGTTTGGAGTCCTGGACGGCCCAACATTGCGCAACACGCACACTTCAACATCTCGAAGCCGCTAGGGGGTGCATCCGGAGGTTATTTGGTTCGTCGGGAGGGGATGACACCACATGTTCAAGGAACTTAGCTTCACGTAACCACTGCGCAGTTCATTGCCGTTCACATTTAGTGTCAGGACTTCATGTCGTGGTGTGGAGATGGTGAAATCGATGAACTAACCCCAACCAACCAACCCCCCAAAGTGCATTGCTCCTCCATTGGCGTACATGCTGAACATTTTCAAGTGATGGTAAGGACTCGCGTCGGTATTGGGAGTTATTCGATTGGGGCGTCTTGCGTTTGAGGATGATGATGCCGAAATGGATTTGAGACAAACTTTGGGATTCCTTCTTTGGCTCTGTAGGTACGGAGGGGTCAACTTTGAGTCTATTGTTGATGAGAATGGAATGGTGAAGTGACCTGGAATGTGAATGGAGCCAGAAAGAAGTGGACGAATACTACCTGAGTCGACCACCCGCCCAGTGTGAAATGATAATGGTACGAATAGGACGGGACTGCTTTCCTTTCATTCTTTTTTCATTTGGTTATATCAGTGCGACCTAATCGTGACGTGAGGTTAACACGAGGTCTATCGGTCCAGGCATGTGGCAGCAGTCCTGCCATTCTCAATCTCGTCAGCTCTATATGCTAGCACACTCCATATCTGTATTATGTAGGGCTTCAAGTTCGGTCTCCACGCACATCTCATTGTCACATCCGCTCTTGTACCCTAGCCTCACCCGGCAACAGAGTATTTGCGGGAACAGTATTGCCCCGTGAGTGCTTTGCCTGCGTGCAATACATGTCCACACGACATCTGAATGTTGAAGATCGGAAATCCAGAGGCCGTGAGCACAGTGGCGATGGGAATATCGATAGGGCGGGACTTGTCAATGGAGTATCTGAGACGAAGGAGGACACAGTTACTTTTCGTGTATCTATTCCGCAGAACATACATGCATGCACAGTGGAAGTCTCGTCTCGACTTTGTTGCGTGGCTTCACTGCGATGTGATTATCCGAGTCGCGATATATCAACTCCAAAGCCGGACTACGAAGCGGGTTAAGTTCGTCAAGTTCAACCAAAGTTCAAAGAGATCGATTACGCTTTAGATCTACTTACTACCATCACAACTTACTTCGTCCGCGAATAACAGTTCAGGATTTCATCGATGATGAAAAGGTGGACAAGATTCCAAAATGCATCTTCCGTACAATTATGAGAAGGACTTGGAACATCTCGACACGGAGGAAGAACGTAAGAAGGGAGGAGCTGCCCTGAGGGAGACAGTTGGTTCTCGCAATCCTGAAGGTAATATAAATCGTGGGAGGAATCTACGTTTTTGCACACTCGTGAATTCGACTCGCTGACCCCGATTGTGCATATTTCGGCACAAGGAGTGGTCATCAATTCCCAAGCGAACGTATTTCTCGGTCGCGTAAGTTCTGACATGCTACTCCTGCATCCATTTATGAGTATAGTGAACCACTGGGTCGCCTGCGGCCCACAACGGACATGCCCAAGACAGGCAACAGGCGAACTTTCCTTTGCAATGCAAGCCATTCCTAAGGGCCATGAACACTCAAATGTTCTACAATTGGGTGTCGAAGAAAATATCATCATGATAAGCGGGTGTAATGGACACAACATATGCAGGAGGTATTTTGAGCCGTGGTGATTGGGATCGAGCCAACGCGATTAGGGATCCCCGTAGAAAAGATGAGATGTGGCAGGATCCTATCGAGGAGGAAGTAATTATTTTGTTCCGTAAGTTGGAGAATAATGAAAGAAGCTTCGACGTAACATGATGTCACACAGCCAGAGCGATTCGGGGATGTGCCAGTGAGCTTGCTTCGTCGGGTCAGACTATGGCATGGCCGATGGCGATTCTGCACTAGATCCAGCCCGCTGCACACGATCATGACCCACGATGAGGAGCGAGACGCTTGCCAGGACTAATTACATAATACCATTTTCAGTGCTACGACGGGTTTCACCGAACTAGATCACCAGGAATCCGGAGCAATTGTGGTAATGTGCAGCCGTGTTACCCAATTCCTCCTATTCTGACCCACATGTTCGGGTGAAGGACCCATCATCGCTGTAGGGATTGGTTTGCTGCCTGTAGGGGTCGTCGTTCCCTGGTGAGCCCATAGACAAAATTTTCGGTAGCGAGGTTCAGCCTCTGGAGGTGTGTTCAAATTCAGGGGATTTATGTACAACTCGAGATCCACACTGATCGGAGAATAAACATCCAAATTCGCCCGCTTGTGTCAGGGCACCATTATTAAACTACTTACCTGCTTCGTCTGGGTCCAGTGGCACACCAAGGTCGTGAGCTGCGGTGGCAATGCCAAATCCTCCCGTCTGGGGCGCATCACCCTACGTTTTGCGAACATGCAACAGTCCATGTGCGCTGGCCTTCCTGCAAGATCGAAGAATTTTTGTTCCTTTTGCATCAAATCTCCCGTAACGAACCCAGAGCAGAACTAAGCTAGTTGGCAGGTGCGACTTCTCAGTCGGTTGAGGATGGAATATGCCGCAAGACTTTCCATAAGGATGAATTGCACCTTGCACGGCTGTGAACTGCGCAGCGTCTACTTGAGTGTCACCACCCACTGCACGACCGACCTTTTCTCCCCATCGTTCCATTATTGACCATGTCGCTGAAGCAGAGGGTCAATAATCTCCACGCCATGGGAGGCGATGTTGCAATTCCAGTCCTCACTGCCGTCAATACTGCGTCGGGCGTGTTCCCTCCCCTACAGGCCGCCACCAATGCCGCACTCCTCATCCTCACTGAAATCAAAGTTAGTAGTAATTTATATCGATCCGGAACGGAACTTGACAATCTGGACTGTGTAGAAATTCAGGGGAAATAAGAGAGAATTGGAGCGTTTTGGAAAATATATCGGGGACGCCATGGTCAATGTGGTTGCAGCCATCACTTCTTATGATGAATCTAATGAAAAGCCCAAGTCGTGGGTTGAAAGCATCAAGAAGCTAAGCGAGTAAGTAGTATCTGCTCTATGCAAGCCACTCCGGTTGTATAACATGAGTAATTTGTAGGGCGCTGGAGCGCATTCAAATTGAAGTCTGTCGATTGGGTGGGAAGATGGAAAGACAGCCTGGTATCCGCAACTTCTTCTCCCATATGAAGAATCCCAGTAGGCTCGATGATTTAAAGAAAGATTTTGGCGAGGCCTTGGCAATGTTCCAGGTAGTTCCGTTTGATCCCCGGTTATGTTTCTGTTCTGATCTCATTATCGTAGCTGGAGTCAGACTTGATGGTTGGTGCGATAGCAAACAATCAAGTTCTGAATGAACTTAAATATCCCATTGTCCCCCATCACGATTCCACTCACCCGTGCCTGCCAGACACTAGGATTGATCTGATCGAGCGTATTATGGCATGGTGTCGTACCATGGAGGATAGCAAGAATCGTGTATTACTGCTGACCGCTGTAGCCGGTGCAGGCAAAACGTCTGTTGTGCTCTCAATCGCAGCGGAGTGTAAACGAGAAAAGATATCGTCATCAAGCTTCTTTTTCAAAGCAGGCGAGCAGTCGCGGCCGGATCATCTGTTCAGCGGCGTGGCTCGATCTCTGGCAACCCACGACGCTGCATACCGTGCCTCCCTCATATCGACTCTTCAGGAGGACCCAGCCCTCTCGACTGCCCCATTCGCGACGCAATTCGAGAAATTAGTGGCTGAACCTCTCCGTCTCAGGACATCCTCGTCTGATCGTCCTATGGTGATCATCATTGATGCGTTAGATGAGTGCGACACAGAGGCGTTCCCACTTCTTGCCAACATACTTCGAAAAGATGTTCTAAAACTACCGCCCAACATCAAATTCTTCGTCACTTCCAGGCACTTCGACCTTGTTGACCGTTTTCTATCGCTTAATGACCCCATCAATCGCCTCACTATCAATCTTTCGGACGATACTAACATGCATGACTGTACTGCCTACATCCGATCGCAACTGCGTGAACTGAAGGCTGTGCATGATGATTTGAAAGTCGGAATAGGAGAGGAAGTTGAATTGGTCCAATGTATATTAGAGCGAGCAGGCGGCTTGTTCATTTGGATCAGTACTGTGTTTGGCTACATGAAGGTCACCGGTGGAAATGCCACGAAGATGCTAAAGAAATTGCTCGATGATGACCCCAGCCGATCAAAGGCTTCTGCCGAGGAAAAGATGGATAGCCTGTATGCGAGTATTTTGGAGAAGTGTAACTGGAAGGACAACGATTTCGTGCATGACTATCCAATCGTGATGGGAGCAATTCTAATCGCCCAGAAGCCACTGTCTGTTGCAGCCTGGGACGCCATTCTCTCACCGCTGCTTGAGTCGGACATCCAATATACATTAGCTCAACTTACACCTCTCGTCTCAGGAGTAAGGGATCCTGGCAAGCCAATTCGTATTCTGCACCAATCTTTTCGTGACTTTCTCACGGACCGAGTCGATCCACAATCACCCATACTTGGTCGATTTAGAGTGGATGCGAGGAGGGAGAACGACAGAGTGGCCTTGTGCTGCATCAAAATCATGAATAAAGAACTTTCGACTATGAAAGATTTAGGGCTGATTATGGACTTATCCGAAAAAGCTAAACTGCCACCCATTCCTCAAGAGGCGCTGCCCGAACACGTCCATTACGCATGTCGGCATTTCGTGCATCATCTCAACCAATTTCAGGAGCCACTGGAGGCACCCAATGGGCCTATTCACGTATTTCTCAATGAGCAGATATTGCGCTGGGTGGAAGTCTGTGTGAGGACGGAAGGGTACGTTAGTCTATCATCATTCCCTGAATGGGCCAAGGTATGAATCATCAGTAGCGATCATTTGAGGCCCTTGCTCAGTCTCACGTCTCTTCAGTTGAATGTTGATCGGACCTCCAAAGAAGTCATTCACATGTTGGCCAATGTCTTTGACAATGTGGGGGGGAATCTTGCGTTCTTTTTAAGATTGCAGGAGGCATGTGAGATGGCAAGTGATTCCGTTGCACTGTGCCGTTGCCTTGTGTCGACGGACTCAGAATCCTACACCCCGGATCTCGCTCGAGCGCTTCGGAATCTTTTTGTATCACTTGACAAAGTCGGACGCCATTCCGAGGCCCTCATGGTGATTGAAGAAAGTGTGAAATTCTGGCGTGAGCTAGTCACCACCCACCCAACACCATACACCCCGGATTTGGCTCGAGCACTCCGGAATCTTTTTGTATCACTTGACAAAGTTGGATGCCATTCCAAGGCTCTCATGGTGATCAAAGAAAGTGTGCAGCTTTGGCGTGAGCTAGTTGCCACCCATCCAACATCATACATTCCAGATTTGGCTCGAGCGCTCCGCAATCTTTTTGTATCACTTGACAGGGATGGACACCATTCCAAGGCACTCATGGTGATTCAAGAAAGTGTACAACTCTGGCGCGAGCTAGTTGCCACCCATCCAACATCACATACCCTGGATTTGGCTCAAGCGCTCCGGAATCTTTTTGTATCACTTGACAAAGTTGGACGCCATTCTGAGGCACTCATGGTGATCAAAGAAAGTGTGCAACTCTGTCGTGAGCTAGTTGCCACCCATCCAACATCATACACCCCGGATTTGGCTGGAGCGCTCCTGAATCTTCAAATATCACTTGACACAGTTGGACACCATTCCGAGGCGCTCATGGTGGTTGAAGAAAGTGTGCGACTCTGGCGTGAGCTAGTTGCCACCCATTCAACATCATACACCCCGGGTTTGGCCCGAGCACTGCGGAATCTTTTTGCATCACTTGACAAAGTTGGGCATCACTCTGAGGCACTCACAGCGATTGAAGAAAGTGTGCAACTCTGGCATGAGCTAGTTGCCACCCATCCAGCATCATACACCCCTGATTTGGCTCGAGCACTCCAGAATCTTTTTGTATCACTTGACAAAGCTGGACGCCATTCCGAGGCACTCATGGTGATCAAAGAGAGCATGAAACTCTGGCGTGAGCTAGTTGCTATCCATCCAACATCATACACCGTGGATTTGGCTCAAGCGCTCTGGAGTCTTAAGGTATCACTCGACAAAGTTGGACGCCATTCTGAGGCACTCACGGTGATTGAAGAAAGTGTGAAACTCTGGCGCAAGCTAGTTGCCGCCCATCCAACATCATACACCCCGGATTTGGCTGGAGCACTCCGGAATCTTAAAGTATCACTTGACAAAGTTGGACGCCATTCCGAGGCGCTCATGGTGATTGAAGAAAGCGTGAAACTCTGCCGTGGGCTAGTTGCCACCCATCCAACATCATACACCCCGGATTTGGCTCGATCGCTCCTCAATCTTTTTGTATCACTTGACAAAGTTGGACGCCATTCTGAGGCGCTCACGGTGATCATTGAATGCGTGAAACTCTGCCGCGAGCTAGTTGCCACCCATCCAACATCATACACCCCGGATTTGGCTCGATCACTCCGCAATCTTTTTGTATCACTCTGCAAAGTTGGATGCCATTCTGAGGCGCTCATGATGATTGAAGAAAGTGTGCAACTTTGGCGTGGGCTAGTGGCCACCCATCCGACAGCATACACTCCGGATTTGGCTGGAGCGCTCCAGAATCTTAATGTATCACTCAACAAAATTGGACGCCATTCCGAGGCGCTCATGGTGATTGAAGAGAGCGTGAAACTCTGCCGTGAGCTAGTTACCACCCATCCAACATCATACACTCTGGATTTGGCTGGAGCACTCCAGAATCTTAATGTATCACTTAATAAAGTTGGACGCCATTCCGAGGCACTTACGGTGATCGAAGAAAGTGTGCAACTCTGGCGGAAGCTCGTTGCCACCCATTCAACATCATACACCCCCGATTTGGCTCGAGTGCTCCAGACTCTTAAAGGATCACTCGACAAAGTTGGACGCCATTCCGAGGCGCTCACGGTGATCGAAGAAAGTGTGCAGCTCTGGCGTGAGCTGGTTGCCACCCATCCGACATCATTCACCCCAGATTTGGCTGTAGCGCTTGGGAGTCTAGATGTATCGCTCACTAACCTTGGACGACATTCTGAGGCACTCCTTGTGAATGAAGAAAGTGTGAAGCTCTGGCGTGGGCTAGTTGCCTTCCAACCGACATCCTACACCCCGGGTTTGGCTCAAGCGCTCAGGAATCTTGAAATATCACTTGACAATCTCGGACGCCATTCCGAGGCGCTCCTTGTAAATGAAGAAGGGCTCAGACTCCTGCGCCAGTAGTTCTCTATCTGATATCATCCACTCTGAGTTCATTCTGTAGCCTCACCAGCTCGTGCAAAGCCGTCATAATGCCGAGGCACTAACTTTCATTCAAGATTCCGTTGCTATTGTCGTTCGCTGTGTCTTACTCATTCACCATCGTGTGTGTTTGGTGTAGCCTTGGCACTGCGGACCCCGTCCGTTTTCGTGCCTTAGGCGTTGTGTGGATGCATTGTGTCGGTCAGGAATACTATCGCTAGCCTCATTCCCAATACTCTGATGCTTATGTTCACAAGTCTCAACTATCATATTCCTGCGTTCCACTTGCCCATGCACTGCATCCATACATGTCTTGGAAGATGCAAGAAGCGAGCATATCATCACCTCCATGCAAGCGCCCAGAGCAATATGATGAGGCGTGTTCGGGACAATCGTCCAAGCTTGAATACAGGTCCACCATCGTCATATCCCCACCATGTACTCCTCCCTGAGACATACAGAAACACACTTGATCGGCCAGAAAACCGACAATCGTTCGCCGCATTGAGAGCCGAGTTGGCAAGCACTTGTCCTGCTGCGGAAGGGATTGTCAGGGCCATGCAACAAATATGTTCAGAATTGCATTGCGTAGTCGTGATGTGAGGCATGCAGTAGTCCCTATAGCTACCATTCTTGCATGTCAACTTCATACCCGATTTCGGTCTCGATTTCCATCATGCACATCTTATTGTCACATCTGTTCTTGTACCTACCTTCCGCTGCGAGAACACTCTAGCCTCACTCAACCGATAGGGTTTTCGCGATGACGCTGTCGCCCTGGGAAGGCTCCGCATGTCTGCAGATGTGTCCGCGCGGCGTTTCCACAGTTAAGGATTGGACAAGCATCGGTCCAGAGGTCGTGTGAAATTTGCGGGGCGAGCCTCGTCTTGTGCGACCTCAAATGTAATGTCATTGTTAGCCATCTATCAACTCCAAAGACGGACTGTACTAAGCGGGTTAAGCAAACATCAGTTCATCAAGAACCAAAATTCTAGGCGAGATTACGCCTCCGATCTACAACCATCACATTTTCCTCATCCAAGAAAGGATTTCATCGGAGTCACGAAACGCTGGAGTCGAAGGTCGTCCAGTACGTGCGCTGTGGAGGGATTGAGGCAATGTGAATGTTTTATGTAATGGTGAGACACTCTTGCCCTGTCGTGATCGATCATCAGTGTGCGAGAAGACTCAGGAGGCTAATAATTATCAGCGAGACGCTTGTCGGACTCAGTACTTACATAAGACCATTTCAAATGGGTGCGACGGGTCACGGAGCCGGATCCATCACCGCTGCAAGGATTGGCTTGCTGTCTTCTACCCGCTGAGACTATATATTCACTCGCGCCACAATTTCGTCTGAAACCCAACCCCGAAGAAGTGATACTAATATTGATTAGTACACCCGACTCCATACCTTTCTGTATTCCGTATTTCTGACTCCACGACGCAGAAAGGCAGGCTATTTGACAGGTGAGTGCGGGAATTCGACTTCAGTTGATCGGCCGATCACTTTTCAAGTAAGATATAATTGCCTCAAGGAGGCCACAATCCTCTCCTTCTTCCACATCACGTCAAGTGCGAAGTGCCATATCTATAATGTCATCACCACAGGGCCATTGCCTTCTGCAAATCCCAAGTCCCATCGCCGCGCTCCTCCCTCCATCACCTAAAAGGCGGCTCGCGCAGCAAAAGACACGGGGCAATGCTCCCACCCGCACGACCAATTCGGCGAGGAACCGTTCTTTAGATAAAATCTTACCGTTTTCCCTCATCCGATGCTCTCCTTCTGCGGTAAGCACGAACCCAACTTAGGCGCGAGGTGTGCTTGAATTTCAACTTCCCTTTTCTTTCTCAGAAAATTTCTGGCCTGACGAAATGTAGGTCGGACTGAAGGAAGAACGGATTATTTGCTGACCAACTCTTGCAGACATGGGGCAGCGCTGGGTTCAGTAAGTCGCAAACTATTACGTAGTCCTTCAGTGATACTAATCTTGCCGTTATCAGCTAACGATTTTGGATTTTATAACCTATGTATACCCCCATACAGTCCTCCTATCCAATTTCTACCGCCCACGGACAAGACGAATCTAGCCATCTTTTTCGCATCACGTTGAAACTTGAGAGAAGAAATGTTTCAATCAAGTCTTCAATGTTGCCCCTTCAGCGCCTCACTGAGGTGGCCTATGCTAAACTGGTTGGAAGTGGAGGCGCTATAGCCAGAACACATCGACATTATAGGTTGTTGGTCATACCGATATCTCCAACTCTTAATGTTCATGCCCGAAATAAGGAAACGAGGCGCAACCGAGCAACAACCAAGCGTCACGGAAGTCGTGTTCATTGGTGTCCAGAGCACACACTCGAGGGCATTGCCGCCACGTTTAAATCTGCAACGATTAGATCCCCTTTATACTAGTGTCACCCCTCCGTGGTCTTCATTCGGGCCTCCCAGAATATCTGCTGTATCCAGTGCGTACATCAAGCTCCAGGCAGTGCGACGACTATTGGAAATGCTGTTGAGGTTTTGCGTATTCACAGGGTCATAAATGAACGAGAAGCCTACCGCATCGAGACACCAAAAACATGAATTATTCCTAGACGAGATTGGTTCATTAGCATCCTGAACGTTCGTGAACTTTTTCTTCACATTTACAGCACCTCGTCTACATGGATTGTATTTTCTATGCGGGATTGGGGTTTCCGAAGAGCATGTTTGGTGTCGATTGGAGTTCTGGATGGTGAAACATTGCGCAACACGCACACTCCAACAAGCCCTTAATAGGAGGTACATCCGGAGGTTAGTTGGTTCGTCAGAAGGGGATGACACCACCTGTGAGGATATTGTTTGCTTAAGGAACTTAGTCCACTCTCCTTGCGCAGTTCATTGCTGTTCACATTTAGCGTCAGGACTTCAAGTGGTGGTGTAGAGATGGTGCAACCGATGAGTGCCTTGCTCCTCCAGCATACCATGCACGCGTCGAGGAAGTTCGAGAGGAGCTGCTGATGAAGAATGGCATCCATGCTGAACATGTTGTAACCCCCCATTTTGGACGCCGCCATATATGCCATCGGCTTTGTAGGCACCGATAAGACAGAATGGTGGGGTGACCCGGAATGTGAAATGGGGCCGGAAAGGAGCAGACGAACACTAATTTATAATTCTTGAGCCGACCACCCGCCCAGTGGAAATAATAATGATACGAATGGGACGAGACTGCTATTTTCATTTGGTTATATCGGTGGGGCCTGAGGTTAACACGAGGTCTATTGGTCCAGGCATTTGGCGGCAGCCATATCTGTGTTGTGTAGGACCTCAAATTCGGTCTCCACGCACATCTCATTGTCACATCCGTGCTTGTACTGTGTAAGAACAGGGACCCTAGCCTCACCAGCACAGTATTCGCAGGAACGGTATTGCCCTGAGATCGAGAGTGCTTTGCCTGTGTGCATGTACATATCTTCACGGCTCCGACTCCACGCCTCTTAGGTTAGACTACGGCATGGTTGATGGTTGTATTTGTAAAGTGAGAGATTCGGCTTGTTGCATACGATCATGATGACGAATCGGACTCATTACATAATACCATTTTCATGGGGGCTTTTACGGGTTTGACGGAGCTGGATCACCGGGTAATGTGCAGCCGAATCCCTCCTATTTGTCTGACCCGGGCGAAGGGCTTATTATCGCTGTAGGGATTGGTTTGCTGCCTGTATAGGGGTCGTCTTACCGTACTGTCATCGTCGTTCCATGGTGAACCCATAGGTTCAACCTCTAGAGGTATGTTCAAATTCAGGTGTTTTATGTCACTTGAGGTCTACACTTATCGGAGAACAAGCATTAATTCAAATTTATGTCAGGCACCATTGTTAAACGTTCCACTTACTTGCTTCGCCCGGGCCACAGTGACACGGCAAGGTCCTTAGCTGCGGTGGTAATGCTAAACCCTCCCATTCCGCTACCTCCTTGTTACTTGCGGAGCGCATCACCATACATTTTGCGAATATGCAACAGCCCATGTGTGCCTGGCGTTGGCCTTCCTGGAATGTTCGTTCCTGTTGCCGAACTTTGCATCAAATCTCCCGTAGCGAACCTAGAACAGGACCAAGATAGATGGGTGCAAGCAGCTAGGATCGATTTCTCAATAGGATGGAATCTGCCGCAAGACTTTCCATAAGTGCGCCAATGGGATGAATTGCGCCTTGCGGCGATCTCATGGCTGCGCAGCCTCTACTTGAGTGTCATCACCCGTTGCGTGTCTGATCTTTCATCCCCACCCTTCCATCCACCCATTATTGACCATGTCGCTGAAGCAGAGGGTCAATCATCTCCTCGCCGTGGGAGGCGATGTTGCAATTCCGGTTCTCACCGCCGTCGATACTGCATCGGGCGTGTTCCCTCCTCTACAGGCCGCCACCGGTGCCACACTCTTCATCCTCACAGAAATCAAAGTTAGTAACAATTTATACCGATCCTGGAAAGGAAGTTGACAATCCGCATTGTGCAGAAGTTCAGGGGAAATAAGGAAGAATGGGAGCGTTTTGGAAGATATATCGGGGACGCCATGGTCGATGTGGTTACGGCCGTCGATTCGTATGATGGATCTAACGAAGAGCCTAAGCCGTGGGTGGAAGGCGTCAAGAAGCTGAGCGAGTAAGTAGTATCTGCTCTATGCAGGCCAAACCATCCTATAACGTAGGTACTTTGTAGGGCGCTGGAGCGCATTCGAATTGAAATTGGTCGATTGCGTGGAAAGATGAAAGGGCAATCTGGTATCCGCAACTTCTTCTCTCATATGAAGAACCCCAGTAGGATCGATGATTTGAAGAAAGATTTTTGCGAAGCCTTGGCAATGTTCCAGGTAATTCCGTTTGATCCCTGATAATGTTTCTGTTCTGATCTCATCGAAACCACGTAGCTGCAGACAAATTTGACGGTTGGTGCAATGGCAAACAATCAAGATCGGTTAACACGTGGAGTAGAAGATTCCTCAGTTCTGAATGAACTCAAATATCCCATTGTCCCCCATCACGATTCAACTCACCCGTGCCTGCCTGACACTAGGATTGATCTGATCGAGCGTATTATGACGTGGTGTCGTACCACGGGGGGTGGCGGGAATCGTGTATTACTGCTGACGGCCGTGGCCGGTGCCGGAAAGACATCTGTTGCGCTCTCAATCGCTGAGGAGTGTAAAAGCGAAGACATATCATCTTCAAGCTTCTTTTTCAAAGCAGGCGAGCAGTCGCGGCCGGACCATCTGTTCAGCGGCATGGCTCGATCTCTGGCAACCAATGACGCTGCATACCGTGTCTCCCTCATATCCGCTCTTCAGAAGGACCCAGCCCTCTCGACTGCCTCGTTCCCGACACAATTCGAGAAACTAGTGGCTGAACCTCTCCATCTCAGGACATCTTCGTCTGACCGTCCCATTGTGATTATCATTGATGCGTTAGACGAGTGCGACACAAAGTCATTCCCACGTCTTGCCGATATACTTCGGAAGGCAGTCCCAAAACTACCACCTAACATCAAATTCTTTCTCACTTCGAGACAATTTGACCTCGTTGATCGTTTCCTATCACCTAATTACCCTATTGATCGCCTCACCATCGATCTTTCGGACGATGCTAACCTGCATGACTGTTCTATCTACGTCCGATCACAACTACACGAACTGAAGGATGTGCATCCTGGTTTGGAAGATGGAATCGGGGAAGAAGATACATTAGTCCAAAGCATACGGGAGCGGGCGGGTGGCTTGTTCATTTGGATCAGTACTGTCTTTGATTACATGAAGGTCAGCGGTAGTGATGCTGTGAAGATGCTGAAGAACCTGCTGGATGAAGATCTCAACCGATCAAAGGCATCCGCTGAGGAAATGATGGATAGGCTGTATGCGAGTATTTTGGAGAAGTGTAACTGGAAGGATGATGATTTCGCGCATGACTACCCGATCGTGATGGGAGCAATTCTAATTGCACAGAAGCCACTGTCTGTTGCGGCCTGGGATGCTATCCTCTCACCACTGCTGGAGTCGGACGTCCGATATACATTAGCTCAACTTTCACCTCTCGTCTCAGGAATAAGGGATCCTGGCAAGCCAATTCGTATTCTGCACCAATCCTTTCGTGACTTTCTCATGGACCGTGTTGATCCACAATCACCCATACTTGGTCGATTTGGAGTGGATGCGAGGAGGGAGAACAGTAGAGTGGCCCTGCGCTGCATCAAGATCTTGAATAAAGAACTTTCAACTATGAAGGATTTAGGGCTAATCAAAGACTTATCCGAAAAAACCAAGCTGCCACCCATTCCTCAAGAGGCGCTGTCCGAACATGTCCATTATGCATGTCGGCATTTCGTGCATCATCTCAGCCAATTTCAGGAGCCACTGGAGGCACCCAATGGGCCGATTCACATATTTCTCAATGAGCAGATATCGTGCTGGGTGGAAGTCTGTGTGAGGACGGAAGGGTACATTAGTATATCATCATTCCCTGAATGGGCCAAGGTACGAATCATCAGTAGCGATCGTTTGAGGCTCTTGTTCAGTCTCATGTTCCATTCAGTTGAACATTGATTCGGTCTCCAAAGAAGTCATTCACAAGTTGGTCAAAGTATTTCTCAATATGAGGAAAAATCTTGCGTTCTTTTTAAGATTGCAGGAGGCATATGAGTTGGCAAGTGATTCAGTTGCACTGTGCCATTGCCTTGTGTCTACGGACTCAGAGTCCTACACCCCGGATCTGGCTCGAGCACTTGGGGATCTAGCTGCATCACTCACCCACCTTGGATGCCATTCCGAGGCACTCACGGTGATTGAAGAAAGTGTGCAACTCTGCCGTGAGCTCGTTGCCACCCATCTAATATCATACATCCCAGATTTGGCTCAAGCGCTCCGGAATCTTTCTGTATCACTCCACGAAGTTGCATGCCATTCGGAGGCACTCACAGTGATCGAAGAAAGTGTGCAACTCTGGCGCGAGCTATTTGCCACCCATCCAACATCATACACCCCGAATTTGGCTCGAGCGCTCCGGAATCTTGAAGTATCACTCAACAAAGTTGGACGCCATTCCGAAGCGCTCACAGTGATTGAAGAAAGTGTGCAACTCTGGCGGGAGCTAGTTGTCACTCATCCAACATCATACATCCCGGATTTGGCTCGAGCGCTCCGGCATCTTAAAGTATCACTCAACAAAGTTGGACGCCATTCCGAGGCACTCATGGTGATCGAAGAAAGTGTGCAACTCTGCCGCGAGCTAGTTGCCACCCATCCAACATCATACACCCCGGATTTGGCTCGAGCACTCAGGAATCTTTTTGTATCACTTGACAAGATTGGACGCCATTCTGAGGCACTCACTGTGATCGAAGAAAGTGTGCAACTCTGGCGTGAGCTAGTTGCCACCCATCCAACATCATACACCCCAGATTTGGCTGGAGCACTCCAGAATCTTGAAGTATCACTCAACAAAGTTGGACACCATTCCGAGGCGCTCACAGTGATCAAAGAAAGTGTGCAACTCTGGCGCGAGCTAGTTGCCACCCATCCAACATCATACACCCCAAATTTGGCTGGAGCGCTCCGGAATCTTACAGTATCACTCGACAAAGTTGGACGCCATTCCGAGGCGCTCATGGTGATCGAAGAAAGTGTGCAACTCTGGCGCGAGCTAGTTGCCACCCATCCAACATCATACACCCCAAATTTGGCTGGAGCGCTCCAGAATTCTACAGTATCACTCGACAAAGTTGGACGCCATTCCGAGGCGCTCATGGTGATCGAAGAAAGTGTGCAACTCTGGCGCGAGCTAGTTGCCACCCATCCAACATCATACACCCCGGATTTGGCTGGAGCGCTTGGGAATCTAGATGTATCGCTCACCAACCTTGGACGACATTCTGAGGCACTCCTCGCGAATGAAGAAAGCGTGAAGCTCTGGCGCGAGCTAGTTGCCACCCATCCGGCATTGTACACCCCGGATTTAGTTGAAGCGCTCGAGAATCTTGTAATATCTCTTGACAACCTTGGACGTCATTCTGAGGCGCTCCTTGTCAATGAAGAAAGGCTCAGACTCCTATGCCAGTAGTTGTCATTTATCTGATATCATCCACTCCGGGTTCAACACGATCATTCTGCAGCCTCACCAGCTCATGCAAAAGCCACCATGAATGCCAACTTTCGTAATCGTTGAAGATTCTATTGCTATTTGTTGTTCGCGGCGTGTTACTCACCCGCCATCGTGTGTTTTTGGCGTAGCCTTAGTAATGCAGACTCCACCTGTTTTTATGCGTAGGGCTGCGGGTCAGGAGCCAATATTATACTATCACTAGCTTCATTCCCAATACTCTGATGCTTATGCACACAGATCTTAACTACCATATTCCTGTGTCGCCCATGCACCACATCCATACATGTCTTGGAAGACGCAAGAAGCGAGCATGTCGTCAACCCCATGTAAGCGTCTGGAGCGATATGTATATCACGCGGCGTGTCTGGGACAATCACCCAGCTTGAATAGGGCCGGTCCACAAGGCTGAACTCTGCTTCACCATCGTTATATCCCCATCACTCCTCCCCGAGACATACAGAAACATACTTGATCGGCCAGAAAGCTGACAATCATTCACTCCGTTGAGCGGAATTGGGAGAGCCAAGTTGGCAAGCACTTGTCCTGCCGCGAAAGAGAATATTGTCAGGGTCAACAAGTATGTACAGAGAATTCCATTGCTCCATTGCCTAGTCGTGACGTGGGGCATTGTGGCAGGAGCCTATATTGCTACCATTCTTGTCCACTTCATATGTCAACAACCAAAAGTCTAGGCGAGATTGCGTTTACCATCACATTTTCTGGAACTACTTCATCCAAGAACGGCCATCCAGGATTTCATCGGAGTCATGAATGCATGTTTGGGAAGGAAAAGGGACGTCTTGGCACGGAGGAAGGGCATAAGATGGGCGGAGCTGGCTCAGAGCTAGGGAACTCAACTTTGTGGAAAAACACGCCGTCTCAGCCAGCGGATGGCTGGAGCCGAAAACCGTCCAGTACGTGGGCTGCGCACGGAAGGATTGCAGCTATATGAAAGTTTTAATTGTGGAGCTGCCTTGACCGATCATTAGTGTGAGAGATGACTCGGGAGTCTGATAATTATCAGCCTGAGCGAGATGCTTGTCAGGACTCATTATCGAGGAACCTGTCCGGGGTCGATTTGGAATATATGAGTTGATTCTCATGCTACTTTCGCGAGGTTTACAAGCAATGAAGAATGCGGTGCAGTTTCTAATGAGCACCGATCTGGAGAGCGCACCGCCGATTCCCGAATCCGGAAGTCAACAACTCGGCAAGCTTGGCATTTTCTTCCTTATGTAATAGCATCGTCCCGAGGATGTGATACTAATCAGTGACTTCCGACTCCATTCCTTTCTGACTCCAGGACGCAGAAGGGCGGACTGTTTGACAAGTGAGTGCGGGAATTCGACCTTGATCGGTTGATCAGCCGATCACTCTTCGAGTAAGAAATAATGCCCCAAGGAGGAGGCCACAATATCGATCCTCCCTTCTTCCACATCTGTCCCTTGCCAGACATATCTATGATGACCATTACCTCCCAAGTCCCTTTCTCACGCTTCTCCCTCTATCACCTACAAAGCGGCTTGCGCAGCAAAAGACACGGGGTCCGCTTTCATCTGTGCGATCAATTTGGCGAGGAACCATTCTTTAGAAATCATCTTGTTGTTTTCCCTCATCTGATGCTGTCCTTCTGCGGTAAGCGCGAACCCAACTTGGGCGCGCGAGGTGTGGTTAAAATTGATCTTGCCGCAGTCGATCTATTTCAACATTGTCCTTCCACGGTGAGCCTATAGACATTTGAATACGCCAGTCTCTGGGGTGGAGGAATGTCCTGATTCAATTCAAATTCAAAACAATATTTACAACTGACTTACTCGAGGCCCAACACCTAAGTGGAGCGGAGTTAAGCATACAAATTTGTCAGCCAGCGTTAGAGCGCCATCTTCCCCCTTATCTGCTTTGTTGGGATCCAGTGACACCACAAGGTCGTTAGCCTCAGCGGCAATGCCAAATCCCCCCATTCCGCCATCCTCTCGGATCCTGCCTTGTTACTGCCTATTGTGCATCACCACTCGCTTTGCAACCACGCGACAGTCCACATACACCTAGTGCTGGTACGGCCCAGCTTCCTACGAGATCGAAGTATGTATGTTCATGTTGCAAACTTCACACCAAATCTCACGTAGCAAGCCCTAGGGTACTTAGAGAGTCAGCATAAGTAGCTGCGAACCATGTCAGTTGATTCTGCGTGAGAGGATGGAATCTGCCACAGGACTTCCAAAGGGATGAATTGCACTCGTCGTGAACTTGCGCAGTGTCCACTCGAGTATTATCATCCGTTGCGCATCAGACCTTTCCACTTCATCCTTCCATCTGCTTGTCATTGGTCTCCTAGCCGCGGGAGGTGATGTTGCACTTCCAGTTTTCGCCGCTGTCAATGCTGCATTGGGGTTGTTCCCTCCTTACGATTTCCCACTGGTGCCACACACCTGATCCTCAGCGAGATGAAAGTTAGTAATAATTTATACCGAACCAGGAGTGGAACTTAACAATATGCATTATGTAAAAGTCCAGGGAAATAAGGTGGAATGGGAGAGTTTTGGAAAATATATCGCTGATGCTATGGTCGATGTGGTTGCAGGCATCGATGTGTACAATGCGTCTAACGAAGAGGTTAAGCCGTGGATGGAAAGTGTCACGAAGCTAAGCGAGTAAGTAGTATCTGCTCTTATGCAAGCCATTGCCGTCGCATAACATAGGTACTCTGTGACGCGCAGCAATGTATTCAAATCGAAATCGATCGATTGCACGGAAAGATGGAAAGACAGTCAGGCACCCGCAACCCCCTCCCCCGCACGAAGAACCCCAGCAGGATCGATGATTCAAGGGAAGATTTTAGTGCGGCCTCGACATTCTTCAAGGTAATTGTGTTTGATCCTCGTCGGTCATGTTGCTGCTCTGATCTCATTATCGTAACCATGTAGCTGCGGACAAGTTTGACGGTTGGTGCAATAGCAAACAATCAAAATCGGTTAATTCGTGGAGTCGTGAATTCTTCTGTTCTGAATGGACCCAGGTATCCCATTGTCACCCATCTCAGGCGTGTCTGAAAGGCACTAGGACCGGTCGGATCGAGTATATTATGGCCAGGTGTCGTAACACGGGGGATAGCGAGAATTGCGTATCACTGCAGAGCGCCGTGGCCGGCGTCGACAAGACATCTATTGCGCTCTCAATTGCAGAGTGCGAAAGAAATCGTTTTCAGAGCGGGTGAGCAGTCGCGGCCGGATCGTCTGTTTAGCAGCACGGCTCGATCTCTAGCAACGCACGACCCAGTATGCTGCATAGCGACTTTTCAGAAGAATCCAGCTCTCTTGCCGGCCCTGTTCGCGAAGCAATTCCATGGCTGGACCTCTCCGTCTCGCGATACTACCGTCTGCCTATGGTGGTCATCATCGATGTGTTAGGTGAATGCGACACAGAAGCTTTCCCGCATGTTGCCGATATACTTCGAAAAAAAGTGCCAAGATTACCCCCTAACATCAAACTTCTTTGTCACTTTGAGACAGTTCGACCTCGTTGACCGTTTATATCACCTAGTTACCCTATTGATCGCCTCACTATCGATCTTTCAGACGATGCTAATGTCCATGACTATGCTATCTACATCGGTCCAAAGCATATTAGAGCGGGCAGGTGACTTGTTCATTTGGATCAGTACCGTCTTTCGCTACGTGAAAGTTGCCAGCGGTGATCCCTGCGAGAGCGCCAAAGGACCTTCTCAATCCCAGCATCGACCGATCGAAGGTCTCCGCTGAAAAAAATGATGGATGCGCTATATACGACCATCTTAGAGCAGTGCAATTGGGAGTACAACGATTTTGTGCATGTCTACCCGATTGTGATAGGCGCAATCCTAATCCCACAAAGGCCACTATGTGTTGTGGCATGGGATGTCATCTGTCTCCGCTCCTAGAATCGTCCATCCGGTGTACGTTGGCCGATCTTGCACCGGCTAGACAAACTGATTCGTATTGTGCATCCATCTTTTCCCGACTTTCTCATGGACCGAATTGAACCACAAATCACCCACCCCTTCATCAGTTTGTAGTGGATGCTCGGAGGGAGAATACCAGAGTGACTCTGCGCTGCATCGAAATTTTGAATGAAGATCCTTTCACGATGAAGGATTTAGGACTGACTGAGGGCTTCTTCCCACACTTCAAACTGTCACCCATTCCTCACAAGGCGCTGCCCCAACACGTCCGATATATTTCTCAATGTGCAAATAGTGCACTAGGTAGAAGTCTGTGTGAGGGCGGAAGGGTACGTCAGCATATCATTGTTCCCTGAATGGGCCAAGGTACGACTCATCAGTAGCGTTCATTTTTAGATTTTATTTCATGTTCCTTCAGTTGAGCGTTGATCGGACCTCCAAAGATGTCATTCGCATGTTGGCCGAAGTGTTTAGCAACGTGAGCGAAGGTCTTAGATCCTTTCCGAGACTGCAGGAGGCGTATGAGTTGGCAAATGGTTCGGTTGCGTTGTGCCGTCACCTTACGTCTGGGACCCAATGTCTACACCCCAATTTGGCTAGGGCGCTTGGGTCTCTTCTGGTATCACTCAACAATCTCGGGCGGCATTCCGGGGCGCTCTCAGCGAATTGTCAAACTCTGGTGCAAGCTAGTTGATCTCTATCCTATCTCACTCACCCCGGATTGGCTCAAGCACTGGGAAATCTTTTCGCGTCACTTGAAAAACTCGGACAACGTTCCGAGGCGCTTGCAGGGATTGAAGAAAGTGTCAAGCTCTGGCATGAGCTAGTTGCCGTCCATCCGACACAGTAATCCCTAAGTTTGGCTCGAGCGCGCAGGAACCTTTTTGCATCACTGGGACTTGACAAACTCAGATGGCATTCTGAAGCGCTCGTGATGATCGAAGAAAGTGAGACTCTGGCGCGAACCCGTTGCCATCCATCCGACATCTTGCACCCTAGATTTGACTCGAGCGCTCGGGTTTCTTTTTGTATCACTCCACAATCTCGGACGGCATTCCGAGGCGCTCGCGGCGATCGAAGGAAGTGTCAGACTCTGGCGCGAGCTAGTGTCATTTATCCGATATCGTATGCCCCAGATTTGGCTCGGGCACTCGAGAGTCTAGATGTATCACTCACCAACATTTGGACGACATTCTGAGGTGCTCCTCATGAACGGTGTCAAAATTCTGGCGCGAGCTAGTTGCTGTCTATATTATACACCCCGGATTTGGCTCGAGCGCTCCAGCATCTTCGGGTATCGCTCAACAATCTCGGACGCCATTCTGAGGCGCCCCTTGTAAATGATGAAAGGCTCAGACTCTTGTACCAGTGGTTGTCATTCATCCGATATCGTCTACTCTGGGTTTGACACGATCACTCCTTGGCCTCGCCAGCTCATGAAGAGCCGCTACCATGCCACGCCCCTGTGTTTCAATCTATTTCTATTAGTCATTTGCTATCTGCTGCTTACCCACTATCGTGTGTGTTTGATGTAGCCTTGGGACTGCAGACTCAGTCCGTTTTCATGCTTTGAGCGCTGTGCGGACGTAGTCGTCATCATGCTATCATTGCTTATGCGCATGAGTCTTGATTATCACATTCCTGCATCGCTGAAGACACAAGATGCGAGCATGTGTAGCACTCATGCAACAATTGTTGGCATCAATCCTACGCAAGCGTCCAGTGCGTCATATAAATCACGAAGCATATTCACAATCTTCCCCAAGCTCAAACACAAACCCACGAGATTGAACTTCGCTTCACCATGTCATATCCTCACCGCCTCTTCCTCGCAATGTGCAGAAACATACTTGATCAACCAGAGAATCCGCAATCACTCATCACATTGGACGCAACAGGTAATTCTGCCCCGCCAAGGAATGTTAGGGCGGCAGGTTCAGACAGGATAAACGGATGGCCTAGTCGCTAGTCGTGGTGTGAGGTTAACACAAGGTCTATCGGTGGCAGCAGTCCTGCCATTCTCAATCTCATCAGCTTCACGCACACCTCATTGTCACATCCGTTCTTGTACTGCGTAAGAACAGGGACCCTAGTCTCACTCAGCCAACTGAGTATTTGCAGGAACGGTATTGCCCTGAGAAGGCTTTGCCTGTGTGCATATATGTCCAGGCGACGTCCGAATGTTAAAAATTGATCGATCCATAGGCCGCGAGAACGGAATATCGATGAAGCGGGACATGTCAAGGGAGTGTCTGGGACAAGGGGACTGATTTTTCGTTATTTCTTTATCTACTTATTCCGCAGAACACACACACGCAGAGTAGAAGTCTCACCTTTGTCGTGTAGCTTCAACGTGATGTAATTATCCGAGTCGCGACATATCGACTCCAAAGCCGGACTGCGAAGCCGGTTAAGTTTGTCAAGTTCGATGGGATCGATGGCGCTTTCAGTCTACCATCACGATTTTCCAGAACTACGTCCGAGAATGTAGCTCTCGGTCGCGTAAGTTCTGACATGCTACTCCTGTAAGCCATTCAGTCTCTGATTCATGATCGCCACCCACAGCCTATCATTTGATCTGAGGCGCAGCATGGCTGCTAATTTAGGGGTAATTCGAGTATAATGAACCTTTGAGAAATTGTGTCGCCTGCTGCATGTTACCGGACATGCGCAATACAGGAGCGGACAGAAAACTTTTCTTTGCAATGCAAGCCATTACCAAGGAGTATTCGAATGTTCTACAATTGCACGTCGAAGATTATCATTATAACTAGCGGTGTAATAGACCCAACATATGCAGGAGTTATTTTGAGCCGTGGTGATTGGGATCGAGCCAACGTGCCTGGGGATCCCAGTGGAAGAGCTAGAGACCGATCGAGGAGGAAGTATGTTCCGCGAGGTTTCGGACTTAGAGAATAATGAAAGAAGCTTTGGGGGTGATAGATATTGACGTAGAACCAGAGTGTTTTGGGATGTGCCAGAGCTTGCTTCGTCGGGGGTTCCTAGGCTAAACTACGATGATTAATTGTTCTGCATTTGTAAAGTGAGAGATCCGGCTTGTTGCATACGATCATGATGAGGAGAGGGACTCAGTACATAATACCGGGCATGGCCAAAATGGGGCTTCAACGGGTTTCACCGAGGTGGATCGCTGGGAATCCGGAGTATTGAGGTAAGTAATGTGCAGCCGGGTGTGTTACCCATTCCCTCCCATTCTGACCCACATGTTCGGACGAAAGGCCCATCATCGCTGTAGGGATTGGTTTGCTGCCTGTATAGGGGTCGTCTTACCGTACTGTCATCATCGTTCCGTGGTGAGCCCATGGACAAAATTCTCGGCAGCGAGGTTCGACCTCGAGTGATGTGTTCAAATTCAGGTGTTTTATGTACAACCGACTTACTCAAGATCCACACTTAAGAGTTCTGATCGGAGAATAAGCATTCAAATTCGCCCGCATGTGTCAGGCCTACTTGGTTCATCTGGGTCACAGTGACGGCAGGGTCGTTGGCAGTGCCAAATCCTCCCATTCACTATCTTCTTGTTGCTTCCGGGGCGCATCACCATACATTTTTGCGAACCTGCAGTAGTCCATGTGCGCTTGGGGCTGGCCTTCCTGCAAGATCGAAGAATGTTCGCTCCTGTTGCCGAACTTTGCGTCGAATCTCCCGTAGCGAACCTAGAGCAGAACTGGGTGTAAGCAGCCAGGATCGGTTTCTCAGTTGGTTCTGCATAAGAGGATGGAATCTGCCGCAAGACTTTCTACGCGCAATGGGATGAATTGCGGCGATCTCATGGCTGTGAACTGCGCAGCCGCTACTTGAGTGTGACCACCCGCTGCGCGACCGACCTTTTCTCCCCATCCTTCCATCCACCCATATTGAGCATGTCGCTGAAGCTGAGGGTCAATAACATTCTCGCCATGGGGGGCGATGTTGCAATTCCAGTCCTCACCGTTGTCAATACTGCCTCGGGCGTGTTCCCTCCCCTACAGGCTGCCACCAATGCCGCACTCTTCATTCTCACTGAAATCAAAGTTAGTAACAATTTATACCGCACCTGGAACGGAAGTTGACAATTTGCATTGTGTAGAAGTTCAAGGGAGATAAGGAAGAATGGGAGCGTTTTGGAAAGTGTATCGCAGACGCCATGGTCCATGTGATAGCATCCATCGATTCGTATGATGCGTTTAATGATGGGGTTAAGCCGTGGATGAAAAGCGTCACGGAGCTGAGCGAGTAAGTAGTATCTGCTTCATGCAAGCAATCGCCGTCGCATAACGTACTTTGTAGGGCGTTGCAGCGCATTCAAATCGAAATCGATGGATTGACGATGGAAAGACGGTCTCGTATCCGCAACTTCTTCTCTCATATAAGGAATCGCAGCAGGATCGATGATTTAAAGAAAGATTTTAGCGGGGCCTTGGCGTTGTTCGGGGTAATTTTGATCCTCGTCGGTTATGTTTCTGCTCTGATGTCATCATCGCAATCACATAGCTGCGGACAGATTTGACAGTTGGCGCAATAGCAAACAATCTAGATCGGTTAACTCGTGGAGTGGAGGACTCTTCAGTGCTGAATGAGCTTAAATATCCCATTATCGCCCATCACGATTCAGCTCAGGCGTGCCTGAAAGGCACTAGGACCAATTGGATTCAGCGTATTATGGCCTGGTGCCGTAACACGGACGATAGTGAGAATCGTGTATTTCTGCTGAGCGGCGTGGCCGGTGCCGGCAAGACATCTATTGCGCTCTCAATTGCAGAGAAATGTGAAAGAGAAAGGATATTGTCGTTAGGCTTCTTTTTCAAAGCGGGCGAGCAGTCGTGGCCAGATCGTCTATTCAGTGGCATGGCTCGATCTCTAGCAACCCACGACCCAGCATACCGCACCTCCCTCATATCGACTCTTCAGGAGAACCCAGCTCTCTCGACTGCCCCGTTTGCAAAGCAATTCCAGAAACTAGTGGCTGAACCTCTCCTTCTCACAACATCGCCGTCTGGCCGTCCTATGGTGATCGTTATCGATGCGTTAGATGAATGCGACACGGAAGCTCTCCCATGTCTTGCCGATATACTCCGGAAGGAAGTGCCAAAACTACCGCCCAACATCAAATTTTTCGTCACTTCGAGGCAATTTGATGTTGTTGACCGTTATCTATCACTCAATTACCCTATCATTCGCCTCACCATCGATCTTTCGGACGATGCTAACATGCATGATTGTGCTGTTTACATCCAATTGCAACTACGCGAACTGAAGGATGTGCATCCTGGTCTGGAAGACCAAATTGGTGACGAGGGTGAATTGGTCCAAAGCATACTGGAGCGGGCAGATGGCTTGTTCGTTTGGATCAGCACCGTCTTCCGTTACCTGAAAGTCTCCGGCGGTGATCCTGCGAGGATTCTTAAGAAACTTCTCAATGCTGGTGTCAACCGATCGAAGGCCTCTGCTGAGGAAATGATGGATAGGCTGTATGCGAGCATTTTGGAGAAGTGCGATTGGAAGAACGACGGTTTCGTGTACGACTACCCGATTGTGATGGGAGCAATTCTAATCGCACAGAAACCACTATCTGCTGTGGCTTGGGATGCCATTTTGTCACCATTCCTGAACTCGTCTGTCAGATATACTTTGGCTGGACTTGCACCCCTCATCTCAGGAGTTGGGAATCCTGGCAAGCCGATTCGCATTATGCATCAGTCTTTTCGTAGATTTCTAATGGGAATCGATTCACAATCACCCACCCTTCATCGGTTTAGAGTGGATGCGAAAAGGGAGAACGCCAGAGTGGCCCTACGCTGCATCGAAATATTGAACAAGGATCTTTCCACTGTGAAGGACTTAGGGCAGATTGGGGATTTCTCCCAAAAGGCTAGGATACCGTCCATTCCTCGAGGGGTGTTGTCAGGACACGTACATTACGCATGTCGGTATTTGGTGCATCATCTCAACCAAGCCCAGGAGCCGCTGGGGGCGCCCAATGGGTCTGTTCACACGTTTCTCAATGAGCGAATAACTCATTGGGTTGAAGTCTGTGTGAGGACGGGAGGGTACATTAGCATATCATCGTTCCCTGAATGGGTCAAGGTACGGATCGTTAGTAGCGTTCATTTTGGGCTCTTGTTCAGTTTCATGTTCCTTCAGTTGAGCGTCGATCGGACGTCAAAAGAAGTCATTCGCATGCTGGTCAAAGTCCTTGGCAATGTGAGAGGGAATTTTGCATTCTTTTCAAGATTGCAGGAGGCATATGAATTGGCAAATGATTCTGTTGCGCTCTGCCGTTGCCTTGTGTCCGTGGAATCGGAATCCTACACTCCAGATTTGGCTGAAGCACTTCAAAATCTCCAAGCATCACTTGACAAACTCGGGTGGCGTTCTGAGGCCCTTGCGGCGATCGAAGAAAGTGTTGGACTCTGGCGTAAGCTAGTTGCCATCCATCCAGCATCATTCACCTCTGAGTTGGCTCGAGCGCTTGGGTATCTTAATGTGTCACTCGATAACCTCGGACGACATCCCGGGGCGCTCACGGTGATCAAAGAAAGTGTCGAACTCTGGCGCGGGCTAGTTGCCATTCATCCAACATTATACACCCCGGATTTGGCTCGAGCACTCGGGTCTCTTAAAGGGTCACTCACCAAACTCGGACGGTACCCTGAGGCCCTTACGGCGATCAAAGAAAGTGTCGGACTTTGGCGTGAGCTAGTTGCTGTCGACCCAACATCACACACTCCGGATTTAGCACGAGCGCTTACGTTCCTTCAAGACTCACTTGGTAATCTCGGACGGCATTCCGAGGCGCTCATGGTGATCCGAGAAAGTGTCAAACTCTGTCGCGAGCTAGTTGCCATTCGTCAACATCATACACTCCGAATTTGGCTCGGGCACTCGGGAACCTTAGAGGATCACTCATTAAATCCGGACAGTTTCCTGAGGCGCTTACAGCGATCGAAGAAAGTGTCAATCTCTGGCGCAAGCTAGTTGCTGTCCACCCCACATCACACACCCCAGGTTTGGCTCGAGCGCTCGGGTATCTTCAAGGACCACTCGACAGACTTGGACGGCATCAAGAGGCGCTTGTGGCGCTTGAAGAATGTGTCAAACTCTCGCGCGAGCTCGTTGCTGTCCACCCAATATTACACACCCCGTATTTGGCTCGAGCGCTTGGGTATCTCAAAGTATCACTTGAAAAACTCGGACGGCATTCCGAGGCGCTTGTGATGATCAAAGAGAGTGTCAAACTCTGGCGCGGGCTTGTTAACGTTCATCCAACATCATACACCATGGACTTGGCTCGAGCACTCGAGATTCTTAAAGTATCACTGGACAAACTCAAACAGCGTTCCGAGGCGCTCACTGTGATCGAAGAAAGTGTCAAACTCTGGCGTGGGCTAGTTTCCATGCATCCAACGTCATACACCCAGGATTTGGCTCGAGCACTTCGGAAGCTTCAAGTATCACTTGATGGTCTTGGACGCCATTCCGAGGCACTCCTTGCACATGAAGAAAGGCTCAGACTCTTGCGCCAGTAGCTGTCATGTAATATTACCTATTACCTTGCTTGCTAGGTCTCTTGCATGTCCACAATTCATGGGAATTCTGCAAATGTATTGACCGTTTTTCTGCACATGTCCTTTCCTTCAACTCTTGCGATGGATCTTTCTGGCTCATTTGTCCCGCAATGCTGTAGCGCAAATTTAGGCCCCAAAGGTGTGCACAGGATCCACTGTAACCTAGGGTCACCATGACAATATGACAATATAATTCGGACCACTTTCACTATAGTACCACTCAGGTGGTAAGGCAAGCCACCTGGCCCTTCTGCAAACAAACCATGTCGATTGTTATCTTGAGTGCTTGTCGTAAATGGCGTTCCGGATAAGGCAACCCGGTTTCCAGCGGCTCACTCGTAGTACAAATGTAAGATAGAAGCGGGAATATAACTCACCGCGTTCCGAGCTGTTGTTTCTCCTGATGTTTCTAGTCACGGAAATAGCAGTCCTCTACTTTCCGCTGATATTTCTGAACTGGGACTTTTTCGATGTCTCCGATCAGAGTGCTGTGATTTCTGTTGTTGTTTCTCTGAGCACTCCGATTTCTCCAGCAATTTCCGTTGTTGTTTCTTATGCGATATTCTGAACATGGAATCGCGCTTGAAAACGGGTCTTGATGCTCTAAGTCCACCTTACTGGTGTGTGCTTCCAACATGTTCATGCAAAGCATGCTGTTTACATGAACTCTGATGCTTCAGAAGATATGCTTATTGTGCGGGAAATTTAGATGCTCTGTTGATTTATGCTGATAGCCAGCACAGAAGTCTATCATTGGGGTCTCGTCTCAATCGTCGACGATTCCGGTGGTCCACACTGACATAGCACAGGTAAGTTGGGTGTTAAATGTTATACATGTTTCTCATCTCCCTTCACTAGGGAAAACATGACCCCCTCCTCCACATCGATATTCAGGCAACTTGGATCAATCACATCTCACAACTTTGCAGGGTTAAGAGGTACTGCTTGCAGGATTGCATAATCGTGAGATCATATAGAGCGAGGTTATGGGACCCTGTCAGAACCGTGCGAAGGTTCGCCGAGGGTAGCTGTAGGCGACCGAGTGTTGCCCGCTAGTGGTAAAGGCGTCCTACACCTGACCGAGCTTTAGCGAGGGATAAACCCCACTGATCTCGAGGCCGAGGCTACTTAGGCGAGTGAGCCGGGATTTTGGCTTCAATGACTCTAGGAGGAGCGTTGCGCCTCGTTCTCGACGCGGTCCTGATACTTCAGAAGGTCGGAGGTCTCACGGGGACAGAGGTAAGCTTTAGGGGGTAATTCTAGTTGATTTCGAACTACAGTACAAGCATTAGTTACAAGCCGTATATAAGCGCTAGGGAACTGAATAGGGAATAAGTCGCCAGATCTCGCGGAGATTGCGGGTGGAGAAAAGAAGCAGGAAAACAAACAAAGAGCACGTGTTCAAGACAGTGAAGGTCAAGCGTGACCTTCGCCGCGAGATAACAAGGTGCGGCGAAACATGGAACAACGGGTCACGGCGCTCTGCGCTGTAGGTGGGATAATTGCCCACGCACAGACTCGGCTCGGATACCCACTTCCACGATCAGAAAACAACTTTCATTCACGGGACGACTCGGTACAAATTTGGTATCCAAAAATAGTCCTAATTCGTACGATTCTGACGATACCAAGAATGTCCCAATCGGTGGAGATTTGACGGAGTTCCGTGTTGGAGAAGTTAGGCACAGCAGGTCACGGGCATGTGCGGGCGTGGGAATCTCAGGCGGCAACCCAGAATTCCAGCCTCACTCGTTCCCACGGCGTCTAATAAATTGGTAAAAATGCTCATTGGCTGCGTGAGAGTTATCTCCGGCTACATTTCCAATTTAGGATCTTAATTCCGTAAATCCGCTGAGAAATCGCTTATTTTCTTTTATTTTCATATTTCACCATCATTTCAGTTATTGATTGATATTCTTTTATTGATACTGTTACCCTTTTTATTACTTCGCCTAATAAGGTATGCAGGTGCCATATGGTACCAATATTTCTCATCAATTATTCTAAAAATAATTGTTCCTTATATCCTGTACATACCGGATTTTGGAATAGAAGTTCTCCCCTCCCCCATTTTCTCTAAGGTGCTAGGACACGCTAGAGAGGGTGTGAGTGTGTGGAATTCCAACAGTAGGAATAAGGGCAGTGATCTAGCTCACAACGAGTGAGTAGTGGACGCTGAGCCCGGACCTTGCGGAAATCCCGGAGAACCCACCACGGAGTTTCAGGATCGAGTCAAGTGAAGTTTAGAGAGAAAGTAGAGGTTTAGGGAGAGTTTGGCCCCACGAGCTGTGTCGGCATAGAGAGCTGCGAGCCCTCTTGCAGCGCCGCTAGGTTGTTCAACGACAAAGAGGAAAGGTGTTGTGGAGAGGTGGCGGGAAGTGGTTAGACGGCGACGGGCGGCGAGCGGAGTGTGCGGGGAGTGTTCGGGCGTGGGAGAAGGTCAGGGAGGAGGTCGTCTGGCCCCGGGGAACGCCGGGTCGTGACAGACCCTTTTGATGTTTGTCACTTTCACCTCTCACCATGTGATGCCCAGCTTACTTGCTGTCAGGGCCCGGCCTCTGTCCGGGGGTGGCCCTACCTCAGAGCTGGACACTTGCGGTGTCCCAGGCAGCCAGGTGCTGGATCCTACCCCAAGCTCCTCAAACTCACTAAGTGGGGATTGAGTTGAGAAGAAGGGTAAGTTTCCCTATTCCCTGCTTGGCTGCTATAAAAGGGAAATGTACTGTACAGTTCATAACATGACTAAGGGTGGAAGCCGAGCATGTTCCTGTGATGTGGAAAAGGTGTCACATGGGTTAAGGTGAGTTGCTCGCCTTGACCCACGTGATTTTTCCCACAGGTTCGCGTGCGGGCTGTAGTTGTGAGAGGTGTGTAAAGATGGGAGGATGAGGGAAGTGGGGGGAGGTCAGGGAAGGTGGTTCTGGGGTTGTATGGTCAGGTGTGGTTGCCCTGACACTTGCTGTCTCATTTCATAGTCAAATGGGCCTTGGTTCATAGTTTACTACAAGCAGTTCTTGGAGCCCGTTGTAATCAGGGATGAGGCAAAATGTTCACTGGAGAATCGTCTGAGTCCTGAGCTGTTACATGCTCACTGGAATGGCTCTTTCTTCGGTGTTCCAGATTGGGTTACGCAAGGACGATGGGCATATAGCAATAACCCCCATCGTGTCTTCTATGAGATCACCGAGTTCAAGCTTGTTCCCAGAGCAGCAGGGCTCTGTATAGCCCATCATTGATTGACATCTCATTGAGTGAGCAGAACTTCATGTGGCAAGAGATATTGTATTGAGCCCTGGTATGTTCCTGCAATTATGTTGTGCTATTCAGGCTGATAGCTTGCTAGATACATACATTGATGGGTCGCCTCTGGGATTATTTGGTTCACTATGTTCTTGCTGTGATTGAAGACCCTGAGTTTACCCATCAAAGCTTCCTTCCCAGTGATCTGTGGATGTTAGAACCAAGTGGATTTGGATGACTCCGGAGTGGAATCGGAGACTTAGCATGGAAGGACCTCGGCCTCAGCGACTCAGGTGGAGCGCTGTGCCATTGCTGGTTGTCCTGGGGGTCCCTAATTTCGGATCTAGCAGAGGGAAAGTCTCTTGGGGGAATTCAAGTCGGCAAGGAGGAGGTGGCAGAAGGGAAGTAGGACTCTGGAAGTCAGGTTTGTGTCAGGGATGCGTCCGGGGTGGAGGGGGCCCGGCTGTAGCGCCCAGCGGAGGGACCCTCTCGGGGGACGAAGTGGGCGCACGTACTGACGGGCCCGATCTGGGACTGTAGTCCCTGGCCACTTAGACTGAAGTGGAAAACATGAATTGTTATTAAAAGGAAGAACTACACTACTTACCTGAAGTGGAAAATGTGAGAAGAAGGTTACTTCTTCAGTTCCCACTTCAGGTACATTTATGTACATGCGGCTTGGGTCACATGACGGGTGCCACATCATCTATGGAGAGGGCCGCAGCCATCCGGGTATCCCCGCGGGGGATCCCGAGGGCGTCCGCTGCAGGTGCGCATGCTGGGCGTAGCGGGAAGTCGTCCAGGGTGTCCGAGCCGGACGGGTCAACAGTACAATGATACAAGGGAAGGTGGTCCGTGTAAATAGAAAGAATAAACAGAAAGGGAGAGTGAAATAAAGGAGAAAGAGGAAGGAGGGAAGAGGGAGGAAAGGGAGGAAGGGGAAGAGGGAGGAAGGACGGGTAGCGGGGAGCGGGTGAGCGGGTGAGCGGGTGAGGTGGGCCCAGGTGGGCCCGGGTGGAACCGGGTCAGGCGGGTGTGCCCTGACATCACCCCCTCCTTAAGCCGCTTCGCCTCGAAGCGGCCAGATGGTTCTCTCTTTCTCTCCCTGGGGCTTGGGGGTGCGTCCTGTGGAATTCCTCGATCCGGTCGGGGGCATGGGCTAAGTGGTCCCATTGGAGCCATTGGTTCTCTGAGCTTGGCCAACCAACGAACTTTACCAGATACCAGAGTTTCCGGCGTAGCCACTTAGAGTCCAATACCTTCTCGACCTCATACTCTTCTTCTCCATCTACAAGTTCCGGACCTGGGCGGGGGTCAGTGGGTCGTTCTGGGATATCGTCTGGGCGGTGTGGTCTGACGTTCGTTACGGATACAACCGGGTGGATTCCTTTCTGGCGTGCGGTAAGTTGGAGTTTGACGGCAGCAGGGGAGACGACTTTGACGATTTTGAAGGGGCCAAGCCATTTGTGGTCCAACTTTTTGGTTGGGCGGTCAGTCGTGTAGTTTTGCGCACTGAGCCAGACTCGGTCGCCTTCTTGGTACTTTGGGGCTGTTTCGCGGTCTCGGCCATAGTAACGGGCCATCTCGTCCGCTGTGTGTTCCAGTGCGGCCTTCGCCTCTTGCATTTTCATCATCCTCGATGAGAATGCGTCAGCAGCTTCCACCTCGGATGTGCGTGTGGGCTCTGTCCCCATCCTGGGGTGTTGGCCGGTGTCGAGTTC